GTCCTGTCAACAAAGACAAGATGTACCAGGTGCAGGCTGAGATACAGAATCTGTTGCAGGCTGTGCAGAGAGCCGACATGCAATGGAGGCCCCACTGCCCTAGCCCTTGCCCATGAGGCTGGTGCAGCTCAAGTGAGGGACTGGAGACTGTGATCAGAGTAGGCAGCAGGAAAAACATCCAGGGCCAACAACTTCCTGACAGGCACATGTTTTTAGCAAGGAATATAAAGGAAACTTCCACAAGAACTGTCCAGTGCTTTCTTCTCTTCTACATCACTCCCTTCCTCGGTCCAAAGCCTAGACTCCTTCAAATGTTCATTCAATCCACACATGTTATCAAGGTGGCTTTATGGTCAGCTGCCAGGGATGGAAAGATATCAGAAGTTTGGCCTTCCTGAGCAGGAACTCACTTAACTTGGGTCACTCTTCTGACTACTCCTCTGTTTTTCTTTCTTGTCTTTTGCTTCTGGATAAAATGAAACAGGGCCTTAGTTGACTTCTCCATCTTCTGGTCATCATCTCCTTCTGGAGATCTGAGAACCTCAAGGGGACATTGGGAGACTGGAAGGAAATTCACACAGCACTCTTGCATTCACAGAACACACAACTAATTAGCTGGGCTTCCTGGAGCACATGTGTCACTGCTGTTCTCAGTCTGGGCATACAGAAGGCCCAAGACACAACTCACACTAAGATCAAGGCCATGACCATTAAGGAAGTCCCTGTGACAGGGCAAAGTCAGAGAGGAACCAGGAATGACTATCCAAGCAGGTTACAGAAGTTACCTCTGGAAGGAGACATATGGGCCATGACCTGCATCTAATGAAGAGACATGGAGCAAGCCTCCCTGGGGAAAAAGCAGAAAAGCACAATTGCTGAGCTACAGAATCTGAGCTTGATCAAAAGGACTGAGGGTGAGGGTCATGAAATGAGATTGGAGATCCATAGGCCCAGGTTCCTAGCATCACATGCATAGAATGTAGTCAAAGCTGATAAAGATAGAAAAATGAGGAGGCCAGAGAACCTACAAATGGCCAAGATACATGCAAAGGCTGCACTGGGAAAAACCTAGATCAAATGGATATGCAGGGCCAGAGAAAGCCAGAGGGTGATGGCCCATGCAGGACAGATTCTTGCTACCCAGATCCAGATTCTCCATTCAGAAAGATGTTTGATCACAAGTGCAGAAGATTTACAGAACATCCAGAGGACTACATGGCCTGTTCCCAGTAAGCTGGAAAGGAACGGATTATCAGTCTGCTCTGCTAGCCTGCTTGTTACCTTCTACATCCTGTCCTTGATTAAGACCCATCTTAGGTGTTCTGACCCTATCCATGCAACCCCCACTTTCAAACCAAAGATAGATAAGAAAGACACATTTTTACAAAGGTTATCAATAAATGTTCTGCCTGGAGGAGGAAGCACTCCTCCTTTCATGAGCCATCTTGCAGCAGGCTTAGCCCTTCCCTGGCTTCCTGACCCCAGGTTGTTAATAATGCCTGGTAACTTCCTCACAGGAATCCTACACAGGGTAAGAGAGACACTATGCTTGAGACATATTAGTGGCAGTCCTTGTGTACCCGCCCTGTGTTTGTGTGCCAGCATTCATCTCCAAAGGTCTCCAAGTGGAGTATGGTTTTCACATCATTCATTTATTTAACAAGTGCCTGCCAAATGCCTGCACAATGACAAGGTACATCTGTTTTTATTTTTGTTTATTTGCACATGCTAGGCAAGTTATCAACCACTGAGCTACATCTCCAGCCCTGAAGAGTACTTTTGCAAGGGTAGAAGGTAAAGCTAAAAATAATAAGTCCTTGCCCTGGGTGGCAAACAAATGGTATTATTTCAGGATGAGGAGAGGGTCAAGTCTTAGGGAGCAGGGCTTGCTGATGAGAAGAGGAAAAAAAAGAAAGGGAAAAGGAAAGGCTTGTGATCAAACATCTCTCTGAATGGAGAAGCTGAATCTGGGTGGCAAGAACCTGACCTGCATGGGCATTTGGGCAGAGGCCTGAATGGGCAAACCTCCAGGCAAAGGAGGAACAGAAAAAAAACAGATGGGGGACGTGACACTGTTGGAATTCCTTCCAGTGCTGAGAATTCAAATGCTTCCTCAAACCTCAATTACACAGACAGTCCCCAATTTATGATGGTTTAATTTTTTAACTTCACAATAGTTTTAAAATGAAAGAAATACACTTTCAGTAGAAACCATATTTTGAATTTTGAAGTTTGATTTTTTTCCATAGCACAATATGCAAGATGATACCTCCCTGTAGAGACGGGGCAGCAGCAGTGAGTTGCAGCTCCCAGTTGGGCACACAGTCACCAAGGATGGGAAAAAAAACTGATAATTTATAGTGTAAGGGAAAGAGCCTCTGATCCCTCACAACTTCTCTGATGTAGACACGCAGGCTCATAATTGTAGCTGTTCTACGTGTTATTATCAAAAGTATAAGAGATAAATTTTCTCCATCTGCTGAAGGTTCCTTCTGGTGTCATGGCTTTCCAACAGTGTGTCGGGGCATTGGTGCTGCCCACATACAAAAAGAAGCCAGTAGTGGGACTGCAAATTGGTGCAACCACTCCAGAAAGCAGTATGGAGATTCCTCAGAAAACTTGGAATGGAACCACCATTTGACCCACTTATCCCACTCCTCAGTTTATGCCCAAAGGACTTAAAATCATCATACTACTGTGATGCAGCCACATCAATGTTTATATCAGCTTAATTCGCAATAGCTAGGCTATGGATTCAACCTAGGTGTCCTTAAACAGATGAATGGATAAATAAATGTGGTATATATACACCATGGCATATTCCTCAGCCATAAAGAAGAAGGCAATTACGAGATTTGCCAGTAAATGGATGGAACTGGAGACTATCATGCTAATGAAATAAGCCAATCCCAAAAAAAGAACGTTCCTTCTGATATGTGGATGCTATCACACAATAATGGCAGGGGGGAAGAGTAGACGTTCATTGGATTAGACAAAGGGAAATGACAGAAGGGAGGGGGATGGGAATAGAAAAGATAGTAGAATGAATCAGGGAGGGGAAGAGAGGAGGCAAGGGGGTGAAAAAGATGGTGGAATGAGATGGACATCATTACCCTAAAGTACATATAGAAAGACACAAATGGTGTGACTATACTTTGTATACAACAAGGAGAAAAAAAACAGGCCAATGGTCAGAATGTAACTGAAGGGGCGGGGGGGGGGCAGTGGATATGATCCACACTGGGAGTATTCCTCTAAATTAGGGTGATCTGTCAACCTAAGGGCCTGACCCAGGAGGTCTTGGGAGAAGGCTCAGATGCTGGGCTCTCCCAGGTCAGCCGCACAGTTTCTCCGGTGAAACAAAGAACATCCTTAGACATTCAGCCTCCAGAGCTGATCACTCAGCGCCCCCTGGTGGATCCAGGCTTCAAGAAGCTCAGGTTTTGCCTGCCTTTCTACCAACTAGTCACATCCCTGAGATCCAACCTTGTAGCTCTGATGCTGCAACAGAGAACTGAGTGGAAAAAAGACTAAAGGGCTCCAAGATGGAAGCCAGTAGACCTTGGAGGGAGATGGCAGGGCTTAAATCAGGCATCACAGGCAGGGAGGATTGAGTAGATCTCTAGAATATTTTGAATACAGGATCTGTGAATAAATAATGAAAGAGAAGCGTCAAGGATGCTTCTGAGGCATTGGGCTTGATGATCCAGGAAGATGGAGTTGCCATTCTAAAGACAGAGAACGAACCTGTTGTTTTATTCAGCTTTTTTCACTGCTGTGACTAAAAGAACCAACCAGAACAACTATAGAAGAGAAAAAGTTTATTTGGGGGCTTACAGTTTTGGAGGTCTCAGTTTGTAGACAGACAGCTCTATTCCTTGGGGCTTGAAGTAAGGCAAACATCATGGCAGAAGAATGTAGCAGAGGGAGGCAGCTCACATGATGATCATGCAGCAGAGAGAAAGACTTCACTTGCCCGATACAAAATATATACCCCCCAAGGCCATTGGTCCCCAAAGCCACTGGTCCCAAAGCCCACCTTTTCCTGCCACATTCCACCCCCTTCAGTTACCATTCAGTTAATTCCTATCAGGAGGTTGGGTTAAGACTCTCACAACCCAATCATTTCTCCTCCATTCTCACACATGAGCTTTTGGGGAGACACCTCACATCCAAACCATAACACCTGCCAAGGAGTAGATTTGTAATCAGGAGTCCTGTTTTGAAAGTGAAATCTAACTGGGACTCTTAATTTGTGGCCTTTCTCAACCTTAATTTGCTAATAGAAATCTTCTTTTTCCATTTTTCGAGAATGGTATTCCAGTAAAGACAGCTTAGGAAAAGTGTCTACAGGAGACCAAGGAAATGTGTATGTGGTATTATTTAAAAGGTTATCCAGCTACTTGGAAGACTAAGGCTAAGCTACTTGGGAAGGATCACTTGAGCCGGTGAGTTTGAGGTCACCCTGAGTAACACAGTGAGAGCAGTCTAAAAAAATTAAAAATGTGTATTATATATTCAAATAAAGTCATGAAATTATTTTAAACCTTCCATAATCCTAATGCTCTAACACAAAAAATTTTTTGATTCATATTCCAGATATAACAACACATTCTGCAATGTTTATAGCATTGAAAGAAGCCTGTTGTACACAGATCTGTAGTTTTTATTTTAATTAAAAGCATATATGTTTTCGTGCGTGTTTTCATAATCGTTGTAATGCTAATTGTAATTATTTTCTCTCTGGCCAGGGAATAATCTAGAAGGAAGGCTTGGGGATTGCTTACGGACTGTAGAGGGGAGGGGTCATGCCTAAGGCTTAGGGACCCCCCAACGGTAAGAAACACAGGGCTCAGTAGGGAAAGTCTGGGATTCCCAGCCTATTGCAAATTAAAAGAGCAACTCCGGGACCCGCTTCCGGAACTCACAAGTTGCGGTACTCGCGAACACGGACGTGCGGGCATCGGAGGATATACGGTGATACGCCAGACGCGGCGACTCCCGAAGCGGCCGGACCGGAAGTAGGGGTGGCCGGTGGCGCCCCGGGAGCTGCGGCCAGAGCAAGAGCCGCGTTAGGGCTACCGGTGAGCGGTGGGCGGCGATCGCCGTGGCGGGCTGCGCAGGGAAGCGGAAAGCTTGGGAATTTTTTTGTTTCCTGAGTGCTAGCTGAACGCATACCTCGGGCTGGGGCGCGGACTTGGGAGAGGGTCCCGGGTGGGCTCTACCTTCTCTCCTCTTTTTTTCGCTGTCGGTGATCCTTTTCCCGAGCTTGCTGTGGGAGTTCAGGGAAGTGGTGTGGGTCAGCGCGTATAGCCCCTTGTCTGAAGGGAGGACGCGCTGCGATTAGTACTCTTCTTCACCAAACCCTCTCACAACTCTTTGAGGTGAGGTCTGTTTCCCAGGTCTCAGAGGTAGGGAAACAGGCTCCGGGAGGCAGTGCGACCGTCAGAGGTCCAGGTCCGTGCAGTCTGCACACTTAGCCTTTTGGGCCCTGGCTCGGTCTTGAGGGTACCCTGGCTCTCAGACGCGATCTCGGTAGTAGAGGGAGCAAACTTTTGTGAATAAATTACTTAGAATCCAGGGACAGTAATTTCTTACAGAGGTGAAAGGGAAAATGATGGCCTTGTCTTGCCTCTGTCCCTCTCGCCTTTGGGAACAGGGTTGTGAGAAACCAGCTCATCTTGGACTTGATGGCCAGAGAGCACTGGGATTCCTTTATCGAGGTCAACTGATGATAGTCTGATTTGTTCTGAACTTAAGTTTACTCGTGGTTTTAAAAGTTACAATGCCTGTCTTTTAGATTGTTGGTAGACTAAATAGTGTTTATAGTTATGGAATATTTAGTGCAGTGGAAGAGCTTAAGAAATGTAGGTTTCTTTTCCCGATTCAGTAGGTATTTGCTAAAGTTGCTGAAGTGGGAAATCCTAGACTCTCAATTCTGTTAGACCTCCACTCTCACTCCCGAGCTAAAATCCACTGGTTCATAGACACATGGAAAGAAATTTCTGTGTTTAGTATCTTCTAAAGGACACATACCAGTGATGGTATTGCTGGTGAGAGTTGACAGGATACTAACAAACTAACCTGCTTACTCATATTAATTCACCTCAGTCCTACTATACAATCCTAGTTCGGGTGTTTGCTGTCAACCACCCGGTTAAGCACTTGCTTGTCTCTTTTTGGAATAATACAAATTGCAGGCTTAGAGCTTTGATGGTCAATAAGATTGAATTGATATACCATGTAGGTATATCATAAAGAACCTATTTCTGGCCATTTTTATATACTTAAGCCTTTTAAAAAGCAAAAACTAGAATGAGTAATGATGTTTGTAAGGCAAAAGTGTGAAGATGATGTTTAAGTTTGCAAACCATTGCTCTCAGGTTTTCTCTTTGGTTTCCATGAGAGATGTCCCATAATGGGAAACTAGAGAGGCCCCAAGATTAATCACAGAAAATTAATCACCATTAAGACTGCAGAAATATAATTAAAGAAAAGTGTACTGGACTGAAAGTAAAGAGGCAGGCCCAACTTGACACTATTCCCAGGTGAACTTTGGTAAATCACTCTGAGACTTAGTTGGTTCTTCTTTGCCATAGTTGTACCATATGACCACCAAGGACCCTTACCCCAGAAGTCCATGATCCCATCCCCTTAAAGGAAGCAGTGTTTTGGTTTTTTTTTTCAACAAAATAGTGACACTAAGAATGTTACAAAGTCCTCATATAGTACTTAAGTTTAAAATGTTGAACTAGAACTTGTATTTCTTTAATGTCAAAGCTACGGAAGACAGATGAATATCAAACATAAATAGCAATTACACTTTCTGCCAGGTGGACAAGCAGTCTGAAATCACATGCCTTTGTGCATACTGCCCAATTTTATCCCTTTTGCTAGGTAAATGAGGTAATCCCCTTTAAGATGCTGAGGAAAAATGTTTCTCTCTGAAGGGACTTCTCAAACTGTTAATTATGTATTGAAAACCTAGGATCTTATGTGGAAAGAGAAGTAGTAGAAAGGCGAAATTTCTGGAACTTTGACACCATAGGAATAAAAGAACATTAAGAAGCAGAAGTGTTTACAATGCTCTTAAAATCAGTTTTTTAATTTTAGAGATGCAGCATTTTTATTATTCATCTTACAGGTAAAATCACTGCTTTATATATTCAGTCATATATATTTGCTTACCATCTAATACTTATCATTAAAATGAATAAGACAAAACCCCTACTCTCTTGGCACATACTTTTGTTCTAGGGGCTGCAAAACAAGAACCAAATAAATAGATGGAGACCATATCAGGTTTAGTTAACACTATAGGGAAGTAAAACAGGGCTGCTGTTGTATTTCAGGATCCTCATAGAAGCAGGACAAGATAAAGGTTTAGAGTGCAGGTTCTAGAGACAAACTAATCCAGGTTCAAATCCAAGTCCTGCAAGTGGGTTTCTGGTCTCTGTCCCTACATTCCCACTGTAGGACAACAGTACAATGGCAAGACTGCCTAGTACCTGGCATATTGTCACTACACCATAACTGCTGGCTACTCTAACAGAAATGAAAAAGTCTGAAGGAATGTTTTAGGACCAAACGTTTTTCTGTTTTGGAATAGATTGGGAACAGTCTCCCTCTGCTGCCAGTTTTCCCTTCTGGCTTCTGACTTCTCTAGGTGGGAAAAAGGGAGTCTTTGGGTCTCCTTAAACCTCACTCTGAGCTTCTGTCTTTGCTAGAACCAAAACTCCCCCAGAGCAGAGAGCAGAGCTACAGTTGTTCATTCATTTATTCATCCACCAAACATTCGGTGTGCACGGGATGCCAGAAATATAGCAGCAAATGACTCAGTCTATGGGAAAAATATCTGCAACACCAGGTGCAGTTTTCAGGAGGGGAGAGGCAGGGGATCAGAGCATTAGTCCCAGGGACTAATGGGGAAAAGTGATCTAGGTGGAGGCCTGAAGGCAAAAACAGCCATAATTACAGGGTGGGGGTTACAGCAGGGCAGTGAGAGATTGGTAGGATATGAGCTGGTGAGCTCACCTGCAAACTGCCAAGGTCATCACTCTCAGAGATCTTGAATTCTACCCCTCACAGACGATTGTATATTTAGGAGGAACATCCAAGTACTTAATTGAAGGGACCAAATTAAATTGGTTTTTTATTTGGGGAAACTTTCTCATAAATACTCTTAGCTTCATTTTTGTCCTACAGTAAGGGCCAGAATTGACAGCCCAGGTCAATCCTTGGACCACTTCTCCTGGGCATTATTAGGAAACAGAGACCCCGTTAGTGAAGGGGGTTTTGTCAACATCTTTTTGTCTTTCAGTTTTCTGATTTTATTTTATTTCTTCTTTACTTTTAAATTTATTATCTTTGTTATTTTTGACCAGTCACATATATCCATGGCATCAAATGCAAAAGGTACAGAAGGGACGGTAGCCAGAAAACAGGACCCCCGCACTAACATCCCACTCAGAGCAACTGCTTCTGAGTTCTACCCAGACACATCTGCTCTTTGTAAACGAGTAAAGCACATGCATGCTCACGTGTGTTTGATCACAGATGGCAGCACTCTCTACATACCAGTTAAATGCCTAGCTTTCTTTTTTAAAAAAATATTTATTTTTTGGTTGTAGTTGGACACAATACATTGATTTTATTTACTTATTTTTATGTGGTGCTGAGAATCGAATCCAGGGCCTCGAAAGTGTTAGGTGACCGCTCTACCACTGAGCCACAACCCAGCCCAAATGCCTACCTTTCTTGATGAAATTTGTCTGCAATCTGATTCACTTTTATGTTTAGCAAGCGGATTGATTCCTGTTTTAACTTCTGTGGGTATTCCATTGTATAGATATGTCATACTTACTTAACCGATTCCCTGTTAACATACTCTAGGTCATTTCTAAACTCTCATGAATGATAATGCTGCAGAGAATTCCTCAAGTGGTGTGTTTTGTCATAGGTGGTGCCATGTCCACCTTTATTAGTCACTCCACCCCAGTCCTATCCTGCCTCTCAGGAACTCCCATGAGCAGTCTTCAGTAGTGTCCACCACTTACTTCTGTCACTTCTCTCCTGGCAGCTTCACCCTTCACCCACTTCAGGCCCCTTTCCCTCCCCAAGTCAACTTTTCACTGCCGAGCTCCTGAGTAATTCCCACTCAAGCATTTCTGCCCCCTGAGAATTGCTTCCTCTGACTCCCTCTCTACCCTAATGCCTCATTTCCTACAGTTCTTGGAGGCCACAGTGTATAGGCTGTGTGGAACCTTCCCATCCCCTTATCTCTCTCATCATCCTTCTTGGAGTCAAGTCTGTCATCATGATCACATCCCTCAAACCCTGGCATGTCTTTGCCTCATACTCATTTGGAAGATCCTGTCTAAATCCCAGGCTCCCCTTCTAGGAGCCTACTCCAGCACTACCTCCTATCCTTTTTTGGCTTCCTCCTCCACTAACAGATGACTGACTGGACTCCTCCTCTTCTCCATGGTCTTAGCTGCCTGAGCCCTTCACCCATCCCAGCATCACTCCAGCAATTCCCTACTCTCGATTGCATCTCCTCTCTTTCCTTCTCTCCTGGAGTACATCAGTGTACAAACATGCTGATATGTTGTTCATCTTAAAATGGAAAAAGTACAACATCCCCTCCCCTTTTCCCAGCTTTCTTGAGCTTACACTGCTCAGCTTTTGCCTCTGTCATTCAAAAATCAGGGAGCCCTGATAGCTCCCATCAGGGTTACTGGCGTCATTCAAATTGCCGTACCCCATGGTCAGGTCTCTGCTGCCACATTGCACAGCCTGCCTTTGACATGTCAGTGACTCCCCCTGAAATGCTTTTTCCCTTGGCTTTTGGGGCCCCACCTCTCCTACCACAGTCTGCTAGCTCCTCCTCATCTCCCTGACCCCCATCCTGGGCTCCTTCCATGCACCACAATATCTCACAACTGCTGCCTTCTCCGTAATCACTTTGGCTATCTAGCTAATGGAACACATTTAACACACCTGAAATGCTGCTCCTGAGTTCCAGCCCTGACCTGCTCCCTCCTGGGTATTTCCCCCACTCTTCCTTTAGTTGTATGAGCCAAAAACCTGGGAGTCATCCTTGCTCTTCCCCATATCATGTCCTGCCCATCTCAGTCTTGAACAGACTGACTCCTCTCCCCCACCACCACCAGGGCCCACTCCCTTCTGCATGGCAAACAGAGTCCCTTTAACACTTGAGGTCAGATCATCCCATTCCTGTGCAAACCCTCCTCTTCCTTTCAGCTCCCCCAGAGCAAACCCAACTCCTCAGCCCACTGACCTCCTCATTGACCCCCTAATTCTCCACCAAGCCATCTCTCATAAGGGCCTTGTCCTTCTGTCTGAACTGTTCTCCAGATGCCACCCAGTCCCCTCCCAACTATGAACTCCTCAGCCCTGCTATGTGAGTTCCAGGACAGGACCTGCACTAAAACTAAGCTAAGCTTATAGTAGGTGCTCAGTAAAAAACTGAAATAATTGAATTCTCTCCTAGAAGTGGAATTGCTGAGGCTGTGCACTTGTAATTTTCAAAAGTATTGTCAAATCACTTCATATAGATGTCAATTCAATTTTACTTCCCCCATACCCCTCTGGATTGCATGCTTGGACTTTGGGTCTTTGCTAATGAGATAAGTACAAACTCATTTTAGCTGTAATTTTCTTTGTTGAATGTTTGGACATCATTTCATATTACTAAGTTCATTTTTCTGTTCTGGTATTTTTCTGGTTTTAATTTTTTATTAAATCTTGCTGGCTCTGTTATCTGTTTTGGTGGAGGTTAAGAAGTAGAAGTGTGATTTTATATTTTTTTCCCCAGATGGTTATCCAATTGTCTCAATACAGGTCTTTGTGTTGTTTTTTTTTAAATACAATGCTATACATACAATAAAAATACAGAAAGGGAGCTGGGAATCCCCAGCACTGCAAAAAAAAAAAAAAAAAGACAGTAAGGGTTTGTATGAGGTTTTTTTCTTCTCAGCAGCAGTTGTTAAGTGATGTAGGAGGCCCAGAAAGCTGTAGCAAATGCCAACAGTGTTTCCTCTTGGGGAGATGAGGCAGTAACTGACAGTGGCACTATGTGCAGTGGGCTGAGATGGAGACTTTGCCCAAGAGACATTGGACACAGGAGGAAGTGATTCATCCTGCCAGTGGGTGCTAGGAGAACTCTGTAAAGAAAAGTTCAGTGAGATGGAGATGTGGGTAATAGAGCACTGCTTATCATGGGTTAAATCTCTAGTACTAAAATATAAAGAAGAGTTCACTTTGGGCTGGGCCTGCAGTTAGCCAAGCTGCATTCTCCAGGTTTGATGGATGTTGCCAGGCAAGAAAGTAGGCTTTAAATGGATTTTTTTTTTTTACTTTAAATGATGGTATTCAGACGAGATCGGGCGCGTTCAGGGTGGTATGGCCGTAGACTAAATGATGGTATTCAATTTAATTTGGCTGGAGGATGGCCTGCAAAGCTACAGGTAGAGTAAGGTAGGTAGATATGAAGGGCTTTCTGAGCTCCTCTGAGTACTGGACCAATGGGCTTCAGACCCAACTGTAGGACCTAGGGAGCACTGGCCGACCGTATGCATTCTGTAAAGCATCCCATGGTAACCCAGTGCTGAGCCAAGATGGCTATGCCACTCAGCCTGGGAGCAAACAGAATTGATGTGCAGGAAAGGCTGCGATTGTTCCTCTCCCCTCCAAGAGATGAATCCACTGACAAGTGAAAGAGCTAGCCCAGGGGGAAGGACCAGGCACCACACTGCCCCAACCTCTGAATCCAGGTCTGTATACCCCAGCTTCTTCCTAGGCACAGATTTAGTGACAAAATTGATCTGATATCATTCAGGTCACCTCATCTTCCCCCAAATGAAGCCAAATTCCCACTTCAGTTGACCTGAGCATTATCTATATGCCAAATGCCATCCAGTTTCCCTAATTTTTCTTTCTCTTGTCTTGGGTTTTTTGTTTGTTTTGTTTTGTTTTTAAGTGAATTTCCTTGTTAGTTACATAGTTCCCTTGAAAGAATTGCTATTTCCTGAGTTTCTTTTCTTCTCCTTAGGCATTAGCATTGACAATTGTGTTGAGCCACAGAAGAGCAATTTCTGAACTTTTGCATTACTGTTGTTCTGAAACTGGGGTGTTTAGGGCTGAGGACCCTGACAGCCCTGAGCCAAAATGAAGACTGTTCTCATGGTTGCAGAGAAGCCATCCCTGGCACAGTCCATCGCCAAAATCCTTTCTCGAGGTAGGAAAGACCAACATTAATTTTTCTGTATTGCTTTGGTCTGTAAGCATTGTTATTTTTACTATTCAGAATGTTTCTCTTTTTTTCCAAAGTGTGATTCTACCTCTGTCAGGGTAGATTTGGTTCAGATCAGAAGGCATTAATGAAGCATCTGGACAGTAGTCACCCTGGATGTGTTTACTTCCACACCTGGTGTGTACCAGGGCTGGGACTTTTAAGAAAGAAAAAGACATAGTTCACAGTCAGGTGGAAGGTGCATTCGTTGTTAGAGTTCTGAGCCAGTCAGGGGCATTGGACACAAGTAGTAAACTGGAAGGAGGTACACAAGACAGCCAGGACCCTCTCCCATATCTATGCCATGGCCATTGTCATCTCTGGAAATTCACCAATGCCTCACATACTTTGCACTTCACATCATTCAAGAGGAGCCTATGGGGGAGCCTTGACCATGGGCCAAGTTCCAGTTTTCCTGAGACCAGGGAACTGGAAAGATAACGTCTGCCTCTCATGCCTACCTCTGAACACACTAGGGTGGCTGCCTGGTGGAGTGCCATTTCCCTTCCTTCTTTTAATTCCCTCTAAATATGAAGGATATTTGGATGCTGGGTACCCAGCAGTGGCAGGAATCTACCCTTGATCCAGCAGTTTAGGAAAGAAGAGGTCATAGTACACCTGAGCATTTATAGTCTAAAGGGGTTCAAGAAATGGCATCTCACCCTCAGAGGCTGAGAAAGTTGGCCTGCGGAACCATCAGTAGACAGGATGAAAAAGACACCATAGAATTTGATAATTTGACCTAATCCCTGGTGAACTTAAAGTTCAAATATAGTAAGGCAAAAATCAAATTGAAAAGTGGAAACAGAATTGCAGATAAAAAGCCCAAGAGGGTCTGCCTCTTGCTCCCAGTCAATAGGTTCTGTGTTGTGAGTGCATTGTACTAGGTCATTTACAGATGCTATTGTCTCTCATTATTATTAAATCTCCCAGTACCAAATTATCCACAGTGGCCTAAAGAATATTAAAACTGACCTCTCTGGGGAAGGAGGACTCTGGCCTTCCAAGAGATGACATCTGGGCCCAGGGTCTTCATAGTATCCACAGCTCCATCTCTCTATGCTTCTTCTTTTCAGGGAACATGGCCTCACACAAAGGGCTGAACGGGGCCTGCTCAGTCCATGAATACACAGGAACCTTTGCTGGCCAACCAGTCCGCTTCAAGATGACATCTGTCTGTGGTCATGTGATGACCCTGGATTTCCTGGGTGAGCACCCCGACCCACCTTCATCCTATTGAGGGGAGCCCTGCACAACACTGCTAAAGGTCCAGTTACAGCCTACATCCAGAGGTCATGGACTAGTGACTAGGGGCCACTGAGTGAGATGCCCAGAACTCAGGCTGTAGAGCTCAGCATCTCAGAGTTCCTGTCCCAGTAGTTCCCTTTAGGCACCTTATGCCCTGTACACCTTCCTGTGCAGATGAGGTGGTGATATCTATCTCATGAAGTGCCTGGCCCTTGCACATGTTTGAGAGAGGGCTGTTGCTCCTGCTGAGTTAACTATTGTCTGTTGGTCATTGGGTGACTGCCATTGTCTTGTATCATTACTGTTATCCATTTCCTTGATAAGGCCAGAATTAGTGACTACCTGGGTCTATGTGCAGAACCATGTGGTTAACATAAGTCCAACCCAAGCTCTGACCTGCCATATTAGTTTATTTTATACTACAACAGAATGCATGAGGTAAAATAACTTTCTAAAGAAAATAAGTTTATTTAATTCAATAGTTTTGGAGGCTGAAAATCCAGACAGCATAGTGCCAGTTCTAGCAAAGACATCATGGCATATCACAGTGTCATCTGGACCTAGTAGCATATGCAAGAGGGAGAGATCACATGGTAAAGCAGGAAACCAGAGAAAGATTTAGGGTCAGGCTTGCTCTTAAAACAACTTGCTACCTTAATCCTTTCTGACAGCAGTGCCCTAAGTGACCTAAAGACCTCTCATTAGGCCCAGCCTCTTAAAAGTTTTATACCTCCAATACTACCACACTAGGAATCAAGCTTCTAGCACATGAACCCTTGGGGGACTCTCAGACCATAGCTTCTGTACTATGCCACCAGCTGGAGTAGGGCAATGATTAGACATCTCTGAGTTGCCATTTCTCTCTCTCTCTCTTTCTCCCTCTCACCCTGCCTTTTTTTTTTGGCTGGGGATCGAACCCAGGTTTGCTAAGCAAGCGCTGTACCACTGAGCTACTTCCTCAGACTAAGTTGCCATTTCTCATTTGTGAAATGTACAACAATGTCCTCCTCCCATTCCCAAGAGGAACTCATTGTTATGTGATAGTGAAGGTATCAAAAGCACTAAAGCCTCAGTAGTTTTTCTTGCTCCATAACCATACCAATAACAACAAAGGCGATGAAGTGGTGTAGCCAAGCTTTGGGGCCCCAGGCTTTATTCTCCAAAGGCACATAGAGAGCAAGGATTAGAACTCCATCTGACCATGTACTCCCAGGCAGCAAGAATGGGGCCTAAAATAAAGCCAGAAGTCCAAGCTTGCAAGAGCCAGACCATAAGTAGAGAAGTAGGTGGAGGTACCAGACATGAGGCCAAGAGAGGTTGACCTTCCACAGGGAACATCTGGGCCCCTGTCGTATACCCTATGAAATGCTGTGTGGTGGGAAAGGTTTACAAAATCCTTTGATTTTGAAGAGAAGATGACACATGAGTTCAGGGCCCTGGCAAAGTGAACCAACCCAGAAATGGTGCTTTCCACTATAGGGAAAATACCAGAAGAAAGGCTAGAATAGCAACCCTGCTGAGAGTTTGCTTGTTTGGTTCCCAGGAGTGGCCAGGTCAGGGTATCATCAGCTTAACAGCCCAGGGAAAGGAAGGCCTGGTGGGTGGGGTTACCCAAAGACCTGAATCCACATATCAGCCCTGCTGCCTCTGACTGTCAAGTGACCTCGGGCCAGTCTTCATCCAAGCCTCCTCCTCTTCATTAATGAGAAGAGACTGTCTCCCTGGGGTTATGAAAGTTGTGGAGGCCAAGCCTTTGTGAGCTGTGCAGTGTGACTCAGTTTCACCGAGACTGTGGTTTATAGGAAAGTACAACAAGTGGGACAAGGTGGACCCTGCGGAGCTGTTCAGCCAAGCTCCAACAGAGAAGAAGGAAGCTAATCCCAAGCTGAACATGGTGAAGTTCCTGCAGGTACGTACAGGGACAGGAACTCACCAGGTGACTCCAGCCGTCTTTGCCTGCCATTAGTTGAGTCCTCATCCTCATCTTCATCTTAGACACAGAAACCTTTGATGGCTGCCCTGGGCCTCCTTTCTGCCCTTTCTGTGGGCATCTCCTGCTGGCCCACAAGGCACCTTCAGGCCTGGTTCCCCCATCCTAGTCATTCCTATCACTCAATCCTGAAGAGTAGACATTCTGCTTTTGGTTTAGTTGAGTTTTTTTCCTCCAATTTTAAAATAAATACATATTTATTTTGGAAATTATAGATGAGCAGAAAGAAAAAAATTATTTCTAACCACATGACCCAAGACAACCACCATTACTAATAAGGGTTATTTCATTTCAGGACTTTTAATATTTCAATTTTGGGGATAAAGACCATATTATAATTATCATTTTTTGATCCAAAAAACAACCCTTCTGAGATAAATTATTTTCTGAGAAGCTGAGCCAGCCTCACTGTAGCCAGCTCCTTGCTCAGCTTAGGCATTAGTCCTCATAACCAAGACTTAGTCCCCAGGGCCCAGTCTCTACCTGTTGTCCCCAGAGGGGAGTATCACAGGGCCTGGGCCTGTGACAGATGCATGTTAATGTGTGCTTTTGGACAGGTGGAGGGCAGAGGCTGCGATTACATTGTGCTATGGCTAGACTGTGACAAGGAAGGGGAGAACATTTGCTTTGAGGTAAGTATAGTGCCCACTTTGGTTCACTTTTAACTTTTCCAATAATCTAACACCCTCAATCCCATTATTCCTGAAGCTGAAGTAAGGGGTTATCTACAGCAGCTTTAAAATGCCTTCCCCACCCTTTATTTGGGAAATTCTATAAACACTTTAAAATGAATAGACCCTAGTGTTACTTTGCTTTCTAATGACACATGGTAGGAGCTGGCTTAAAAGGGGGCAGAATTATCTAGGGAGATGCAGATTTCAAAATGTAGTAAGTTAGTTTTCAGGGTCCCAGACCCAGCTCAGTGCCTTGGGACCTTCAGTTGATGTGATTGATCACCTCAGCACCAGAACACCTTTCTGAGACCTCATTCTTCTCATCTCCCACCTTTACACATCCTCTGCTTCATTCAGAATGCCCTCCCACCTCCCAGTCACCCCCAGTCACACAGCCCACCCTGTAGAGAGGGAGGGCTTCCCTCTCTTCCCATGTATCCCTTTCTTGTGCTTACTTAAGTCATAGTACCCTCATGCTTATTATAACTGCCAGTCTCACTCATGCCTCTCAGGCTGTAGCTCCATACAAGTCACCCTGTGTCCCTGTACCCTCAGCTTTCACCTATGGTCTGATATGCCTTTGGGTTCAGGAGATGATTCCAGTGAGATGGGGTTCTCAGGGCACCTGGCATTCTAGTGCAAATACCCTCAACCAACCCAATTGCATACTCCCTTCTTAGATATCCTTCTACCCCCTCCCCACCCACTTCCAGGGACCTTTGCATCTGGGGGTGGAGAATGATAGCAGCTCATTAGCTTTCTTCCTTCAGAAATAAAACCACTTCTCCCCAATAAGGACACTCCCGTCACTCTGCACAGCCTTCATAGTGCATCTCAACTCTAGGACCTGCTGTGCCGAACCCCCACCCACAAGCTGAACCCACCTGTGGTCTTGCCACTTTTGCCCATTTCCTCTTCCTTCCTTTTTCTTTCCCCGACTTTCCTCCAGTCATCTGAAAGTTTCACTTACCCTTCTAAGCACACTCTCCTCCAGGAAAAGGGGAAACAGATCAAGTGGGGTAGATTTGGTGTCCCTTGTATGCTTGGCAGTAGCATTTACTAACTGGGAGCAGAAGACAAGAAAGGTGGCAGTTGCAGAGTAATAGTAAGTAGGGGAGTGCCCAGGCATATTTATAGTTGGAAGGAAAGGGAGCCATGTGACGAAGGTTTTGTGGAGAGACCAAAGCTTCTGAAAAGGCAGAGAGATGGAGAAGGGTCTGGCAGGGGTGAAAGAAGGTGTCCCACACAAAAGGTTCAGCACTGGAAAGAGCCAGGCCCAACTGCAGAGGTGTGGAGGTAGATAGCCTGGGGACAATCACAGCCAGGCCTCCTTCCCCCCAGGTCCTTGATGCTGTTCTGCCTGTCATGAATAAAGCCCACAGCAATGAGAAGACCGTGTTCCGGGCTAGGTTCAGCTCCATTACTGACACAGACATCTGTAACGCCATGGCCCGCCTGGGTGAGCCAGACCACAATGAGGCACTCTCAGTGGATGCCCGCCAGGAACTGGACCTGCGTATTGGCTGTGCTTTCACCAGGTGCTGTCCCCCACCCAGACATACACATGTACTTTGGGCCCAAGCATACCCCTTCCCTCCCTTTACCCTAGGTACCTGCCTTTTCTGGTCCCCATCTGCAACCGCAGAGCCTCTTGGAGCCCAGATCAGCAACAGGCAATTTTCACATTTTAAAAATCTTAAAGAAAGGTCTGGGGTTGTGGCTCAGTGGAGAGCACTTGCCTGGCACATGTGAGGCACTGGGTTTGATCCCCAGCACCACATAAAAATGAATAAATAAAATAAAGGTATTGTGTCCATCTACATCAAAAAAAAAAAAAAACATGAAGAAAATTACATATATGGTTGGCATACACATCACACAAACTGCCACTTGATAAACAGAGGGTATCCTTACTCAAGAGTCCTAAGAAGAATGCAATGGATGGATAGAGTATAATAGAAGGACCCCTCACTCACAATAATAGGAGACTCCCTGGGTCTCACTCACTTGTCCATCATATGTACACATGATTCCTGCATGACACACTCTGTTACACTGACTTCAAACTAATAGCAGCTTACTTGTACCACTTCCCAACATACACCCCAAGCCCCAGGCTAGACTCACACAGGGGTTTAATGATAATGTCTTAAGTGAATTCTTAATCAACTGTCTTTCTCTTTACCCCACCACTCCCCCTAGGTTCCAGACAAAATATTTCCAAGGGAAATACGGTGATTTAGATAGCTCTCTCATCTCCTTTGGGCCATGTCAGACTCCTACCCTGGGATTTTGTGTGGAGAGACATGATAAAATCCAATCCTTCAAACCAGAGACCTACTGGGTGCTGCAGGCCAAGGTATTTTTTCCCCCCTTCTGTATTCCTTCTCTTTTGTTCCAGGTTTGGTGAGTGGATTCTCAGAGTTTTCCTCCACCACCATCATTTTTATTATCCTGCAGTCCCCTGGCTAAGGACACAAATGTGAATAGCTGTAAATGAGAATGGTTTTCTGTGCCCCAGAAAAGAGGTTCCCTGCCTTCATGGGGGGTAGTGGGGCTGGGTTGGACTTGAATATATTGAATTTGGATAAGTAAGAATGAATTTCACTCTAGTGGTACAGGGTGAAGTCAACCCCCTAAGGGACCAGCAACTGTGGTGGTCAGATCCAAGAACTGGATTGAGGCCATGGGCTTTCAAACTTTTTGAAAGTGCTTAGAACTTTTCTTTGAATAAAAGCCTCTTTAAGCTTGATTTAAAGCATAACAAAGCTGGGCGCAGTGGCACACACCTGTAATCCAAGTGGCTCGGAACGCTGAGGCTGGAAGATTACAAGTTCATAGCCAGCTTCAGCAAAAGCGAGGCACTAAGCAACTCAGTGAGACCCTGTCTCTAAACACAATACAAAATAGGGCTTGGGGTGTGGCTCAGTGGTCGAGTGCCTTTGAGTTCAATCTCCAGTACCCAAAAAAAAAGCATAGCAGAGTTGTTCTGATTGACACAGGGCTGGTGATCTTTGGTACGGGCATACCTAGGCACCTAGACTAGCCAGGCATTGAGGCTAGGCAGGGATGGAGTGAGAGATAAAGGCTCAGACACTTTCTTAATGACACATCAGCCTCAACTCCAGGCCACCCTCTTGAGACCACCCACCCAATTGCTGGCAGGGGAGTAGGGAGGATTAGATGCCAGCCTGCATATCTGTAAGCTAAACAACTACAGTTAGGAGAAATCAGAGTGGAGACCATTTTGCTCCCGTACAAAGATCAACTTCCCCTGATTCCCTTCCCTGAGAAAGCTCACCTGGATACTTCTTGCGTGTTCACTTTTTGTCCTTTCTACAGGTTAATACAGATAAAGACAAATCTCTCCTTTTGGACTGGGACCGAGTGAGAGTATTTGACAGGGAGATTGCACAAATGTTTTTAAACATGACAAAACTGGAGAAGGAAGCTCAGGTATGCCTCCTACTCCCATATCTATCATATTTGCCTTTTGTGGATGTAGAACTCCAGAAAACTCTGGCCAGGGGCTGCGGTTATAGCTCAGTGGTAGAGCGCTTGCCTGGCATGTGTGGGGCACTGGGTTCAATATTCAGCACCACATAGAAGTAAATAAATAAGATAGAGGTATTGTGTCCATCTACAGCTAAAAAAATTTTTAAAAAGAAAGAGAAAAAAGAAACCTCTGGCCAGAGGTACAGTCTATAACCATGGGTCACATCTTTCTTCCCCTTTCTGAAACAGATATCTTTTTGGAAAGAGGAATAGTTACTCACACATACACTCCTAAGATACTTCTGCCAGTGTGGTAGCTCCAAAGTTCTGAGTATCTACTCCCTACCAGACACTACACACACCTGTGGCCCTGCCAGATCTCTTAATTCTCCCCTTTCCACCATACATAACTGATCTCCTTTGTCAGGCCTTCATTTCACACAGATGTCCCTTTTTTATGATACTGAAAGCTAACAACTATAGAGGGACCTATGTGCACATGGACACACTTGCCCAAGATCATTCAGCTAGCAGGGTATAGACCTGGGATCCTCAGTCAACTTTCACAACTCTGTAGAGTTGTATTTCTTACTTATAGTTAGATAGATAGATAGATAGATAGAAGGACATACTGCTTGGCTGTTAGGAAGAGCAGCCTGGCAAGGGGCTGGCTACAGGAAGTGGGGGAAAGTCACTGCCATCACAGCGGATCAATGCCCTGCAGCTCCGATAACTCCCAAAGTCAGTGAAATACAACTTGGCTTTCTTCAGTTGCCTTCTTCTTGTCTTTCTTAAGGTTTCCTTGCATGCCATTTTGCCCAGGCTTCCGTTGTCTCAGATTTCTTAGACTTCTTTTAGAGCGGTTCCATGCCTATAGCAACAATGACATTCCTACGGAGACGCCATCTCCACCTCCAGGTCTCACCCTGAGTGACCCTAGTCTTCTTTGCTACACATAAACAATTGGCGTCAGCATTAGCACCCACATTTGTCAGTTTGGAATTCAGAATGTGCCACCCTAGCCAGTCTACAAGGGATTGGCAAGGGCAAAGGGCAGAGTTTGAGTTATTCTGGTTGTATTTGCAGAAGACAAAACAAAGAATCATCTCTTCCAACAAGTGTGTGGTCCAGAGGTAGGAAGTTATAGCTCACCAACCAAGCACAACCCACTGATGTTTCCATTTAACCTGCATGGCCTTTTACAAAAAATCACATAGCAATACGGACTTGCAGCTTCCCTTGAAAAATTAGAAAATTTTGTAGCAATGCTTGTGGCCCAGTCAGCAATTCCCATGCACAGCAAACAACAGCCACCGTCCCTAGAACAGACCCATGTACCATCCCGTAACATTGGCCTCTATGGGATTTGTATTTGCTGTCCCTTACCCTGACTCCTCCCCATACCTCCATGTTTTCTCTTTTTCTAGAAAAGAATTTTCATTATTTTTCCTTTCCTGGTCCTGAATATTCAATCCAGTCTTCATACTACTGGAAAGAGTGAAATCAGAAACAGGAAGACCAAATGAATGAAACCAAATCCATTGCCCACACATCTGGATTCCCTCTGTTATGGGCTCTTCTCCCTTCCAAAAATTACTCAAAATATCCCTTCTTCTAGGTGGAGACCACAAGTAAGAAAGAAAAGGCCAAGCAGAGGCCACTGGCCCTGAACACTGTGGAGATGCTGCGTGTGGCTAGCTCTGCTCTGGGTATGTGGGGGCCAATTTCATTTCTCTTTAAGTTCCAGAGTAGGAATAAGTCAATGTAAACGAGAGAATAGTGTCTCATAGTATTCAGTGATTCAGTAGTTGCTATCAGGATAAAACACATGGAGGCTACCTTCAATGCAGGGCCCTGGGTCAGCAGAATCCCTCAGAGGCCTTTTACTCTGGAGATCCATCACCAGAGCCAAACTCTGGTCCAAACTCAACTTAACCACTTCCTTTCTTAGCCCAAGCCTCAGTTTCTTATCCCCTGAGAAAATGGGGCAACAATATTACCTGTGTCTTTGGTTTGCTATAAAGACTAAATTATGGGAAATAGCATCTTTTAAAATAGCAATGATAATATTGGCCACTACTTGAGAGGGACAACCTAACATTAGAATTCTCAAGCAGCTTCACTAGCACAAGGGAGAGGCCTCAGCCAACTAGAAATAGATGTAAACTTCATCTCTGAGCTTCCTACTCAATCATAAAGGGGTTGGGCTGGAAACCTGGCAGTTTCTAACAGCTAGCAGTCTCTAGGCTTTGGTGGCCCAGCCATGGGGAGCCATGGGCTATGTCCTTGCGGATCAGTGCCTCCAGAGTCCCAGGAGGACAGTGGTATCATTAAGTGATCATTAGCTGAGTGCTGGCCTCTGTTGGTCAGGGAGCAGCAGGATGAACCCTACCTCAGTATATTGAGAAGGATAAAACACCACAATGGCTCAGAACTGTGATTGTGCTCTTTGTTATCATAGTAGGCTCAATAGCCACTATGGTTATAGCCCTATAGCTATATGTGTATAAGAGAGGTGCTCCATCATCACCATAGCCATGAGTAACATGCATGTGATATTGTTACAGAGCTAGGCTTTCTGGGAAACTGAGGCCTCATAAAGATACCCCCCCTTTAAGCCCCATTCTTGTGATCAAATTAGAAATATTAAAGACATTACTGAGAATAACAGGGATGAGTTTATTGAAGGGATAGGAAAAGGGAAAGGAGGCACTCTCAGGGGAGAGAGTGGGTCCTCTCAAAGAGGAGAAGGACAGTGTGCCTCTCCTGCACTCCAGTTTTATTTTGTTTTTAAATTTTTTTTTTGTAGTTATAGTTGGACAGAATGCCTTTATTATATTTATTTTTATGTGGTGCTAAGGATCAAACCCAGTGCCTCATATGTGCTAAGCAAGCACTCTTCCACTGAGCTACAGTCCCAGCCCCTGCACTCCAGTTTTATTGGGATCCCAGAGAAGTTTCTAGAAAGTCTCACTCAGGTCTACCTCTTGACTTTTGACTGATAGCAGGATGACATCAAACTTTCAAGTCCCCACTGCCATGACAACTCTAGGTTACCTTGGCCCATGCTGACCAGTTCTAATTGTATTCTTAACCATAAATTCTTACAGATTTTATGGTTAATAGGAATTATCCTTATCTTTCTGAGTTTTGGGATGTAGTCTGTGAAAAGGGTCACAAAAGTCTCCCTTCCTCCTTCAGCATAACTGGAGTTCCTCTTATCAACATTACTTCAGGCCTGTATTTCTCCTGCAGATAACAGGTAGTTTGCTGAGGAATGTAAGATATCCTGTCCACTTAAACCAGGCAGGGCTGCAGGTAAATTTCTTCTTGGACAATAAAGCATGTGAGGGTCAGCACACCGGCTATCCCCACATTCCAGGCTCCTGAGTCTCCTGTCTCTCACAGGCATGGGACCACAGCATGCCATGCAAACAGCTGAGCGGCTGTATACACAGGGTTACATCAGCTACCCACGGACAGAGACCACCCACTATCCTGAAAACTTTGACCTGAAGGGTTCTCTGCGGCAGCAGGCCAACCACCCCTACTGGGCAGACACGGTAAGTGGAGTGGACCTTGCTCTTGCTCACTCAGGCCTCAGAACAGGCTCAGGCACTTTGGTCAAACCCAGGACTAGTAGGAGGCAGCCATGCCCAGACTCATTTCCACTCTGTGCTCTCTTCCTCAGGTGAAGCGGTTGTTATCAGAAGGTATCAACCGCCCACGGAAAGGCCACGATGCTGGAGATCATCCTCCTATTACACCCATGAGATCTGCCACAGAAGCAGAATTAGGTATCAGATGCCCTGCCCGCTTCCCCACACACTTCTCAAGCTTCTGGCGGGGCAGGGAAAAGGGCAAGACACCATAGCTACACAGCACCATTAGACAGAGTCAGGCCCTATTGGCAATATGCTCCTCTTTCCCTGGCTTGGTGAGGGGTTCACCTGAAAGCTTTGCTTCATTACCATGGACTGAGGTTAGTAGTGAAGTTGTGGCAACTGATCAGGGAGAAGTCAGTGAGCAGACAACATCAGAGGAAATGGAATGGGATCCAGGCAGAGAGTGACAGGGCTCAATGATAGGCTGCACCTCCTACATGGATCTCATGCCAGGAAAAGGCAGATGGGGAAGAGAGAACAGTCCAAGTGGAAACAGGAGCTACTACACACACTGGAGTTTGAAGTGAGGTGGCATGTCACTAGACAGTAGGACAGGCTGGAGCCTAAAGAGCAGCCCCAGAGAAACAGGTAGAGGCTGTGTAGAGAGGTGGGAGCCATGGCTATGAAGATACCACTAAACATAGGAGACTGGCTTTCCCTTGCTGTGTGTTTTCCTTCCTTCTTTTTTGGACTTTGGAGCAGGCCATCCCTGGCAACCATGCCAAGGATGGAGGGAAAGTGCTAGGGGTCCTTAAAACCTGGCCAGGCCACCAGAGTGACTGACTGTGGGCCTTTTGCAGGGGGTGATGCATGGCGGCTCTATGAGTATATCACCAGGCACTTCATTGCCACTGTTAGCCATGACTGCAAGTACCTCCAGAGCACCATCTCCTTCAGGATTGGTCCTGAGCTCTTTACCTGCTCAGGGAAGACTGTCATCTCACCAGGTAAAACTGTGAGTCCTAGGAATCCTCCTTCACAGATTTTGGATCCAGAGATGGTAGGCCTAGGGTCTGAGGCCTGGGTTGCCCAGGATGGGGACCCTAAATGGTGGTGCTGTCTCTATTTAGGCTTCACAGAGATTATGCCCTGGCAGAGCGTGCCCCTGGAAGAGAGCCTACCCACCTGCCAGAGGGGTGATACCTTTGCTGTGGGTGAGGTGAAGATGCTGGAGAAACAGACAAGCCCACCTGATTACCTTACTGAGGCTGAGCTCATCACACTCATGGAGAAGCATGGCATCGGTGGGTGCATCTACCCAGTTACTAGACCCAGGGTTCCCTTCCCCAGGACTGGGGCCAAAAGGATATACCAGCAAAGCTGCCCAGTAACCCCTACACACCCAGCCCAGCACCAATCTGTGGACCAGTATCTGATAACTGGTGGCACCCTGTAGAATAGTTGATCCTGGCAGATCCACAGTGGGAAGCAACTCACAACACTGTCACATCAGGACCTAGCCTTCTTTGTGAAGGCCAGGATACATTCTCATGCACTGTGGGGTCATGTACTAACTAGCACACACAGCGCTGAGAGTTGACCCACAATGCCAAAAGATTCATAAGTCAGATCAGCAGCCTCCCAAGTCTACATAACTGATCATGCCTTTCCTGGAATCAGGTTCTGGTCTTGCTTCTCTTAGGGGCCTGGGGCACCTGTGGTAAGTCCCAATGGAGCAGCCCTCAGCCTGCTATGGAGTATGGGTGCTGCTCCCCAAGTACTCTTAGCTCCTTCCCATTAACAGAACAGCCCCTCTCTGGCTTAGGAACCCTTTTCAAGTCATGACTTCTAGCAGCCATACATGAAAAAGGGATCTGGACCCAGTGACTAAAACAAGACAAGCTACATTTGTTACAGCGAAGAGGGCTTTTAGGTGACCTTCAAAACAGGAAAGTGGGCAAGGGTAGCCTTGTTGGTGGAGGCCCACAGGGCTGTGTAAAAAGGGTCTGGTCAAGCCCACTGTATGCCCAGCAGCATACACCTGTAATCGCAGCTACTCTGGAGGCTGAGGTAGGAGGATCCCAAGTTTGAGGCCAGCCTAGGCAGTTTAGCAAGACCTTGTCTCAAAACAAAATTTTTTAAAGGGCTGGGGGTATAACTCAGTGGTAAAGCATTTGCCTAGCATACATGAGGACCTGAATTCAGTCCCCAGTACTGCCAAAAGGAAAATGGGCCGGGGAGCCTGAGCAGAGCTGCCATTCAAGGCTATGGCAAGAACATACTGGGGATTCAGAGCCCTACATGGGCACAGAACCACTCCTATCCTAATCCACAGGGTCTGTGAGCTCTGGAACTTCAGCATGCTTCTTAGACTCCAGGTACCCATTTCTTCATATGGAAAATTCTCCTTCATTGAGTTGCCTGTCACCCACTAGCACTGGCAGGTGTGCCGTCAGCATGAATTTCCTTTTTCCTTCTCTTGACCAACGCACACCACACTCAGAATGCCTTACTTTCAGCTGCCTTCTCTACCAAGTAGGCTCCTCAAGGCTGAGGGAGTTACATCCCTGGAACTGGGAACCTGCCTTGGGGATCATGAAGAACTCTAGAAAGATGGAGAAAGAGGGAGATAGGAAATGGGTAAAAACAGCTGGGTTCAACAGTGAACTTGTAAGCTCCCCTTGGAAGGTACTGGGGCTCTTCCTCCAGGAAGGGTTGCTTGCTATAGTTTCCAGGTAATAGAAGCCAAGGAGGTTACATTTAATGGTTGCAGAGTAAATTCTGTGACCTTGACAGAGTCACTTAACCTCTCTGAGCCTCTGGCCTCAATTATAAAGCTAAAATAAGTACCCTATGAGTGGTTGTCCTTGGATTCACAAGACAAAATAGGAAAGGCACTTAGTGTGGTGCCCAGCCCCGTGTAGAGGGAACCACAGGCATGCAGTCCTCCCTCCTGTTGGTGGTTGGGAGGCACTGAGATGGAGGGTCCCAACAACAGGTGGGGATAAAGCTCAAGTGCACAGTCCAGTGGGTACTGTTGGCTGCAGGCTAAGGAAAACCCAGGGCCTTGCTATGTGTTTTAGGGACTGATGCCAGCATCCCTGTGCACATCAACAATATCTGTCAGCGCAACTATGTCACTGTGGAGAGTGGCCGCCGACTCAAGCCCACCAACCTTGGCATTGTCCTGGTGCATGGCTACTATAAGATTGGTGAGTCCCCTGGTCCTGTATCCTAGAGCCTGTGGACTCCCCAGCTTCTCCCTGAGTGGTGACTCTGCTGTCTCCTCAAGATGGGTCCTGGCCCTGCATTGAGCCCCTACCCCCTCATGTACTCCCCCAACTCCCACTGCAGGAGTGCTGCCCAGGACCTACAGGCATGCTTGAAAGATCTAAAATGGAAAGTAAGGGGCTCTTTTCCACAGACAAGCCCTAGGATAGGTAAGGATAGCTCGCTAAGGAGCCCATCAACTCTCTCCTGTAGAGATGTCCTAGGCCTCTGGGAATGCAGAACCACAGCACAGATGTGGCCTGAGGACAGCCATATCTGTAATATGATCCTAGACAAGTTGTTCTCACCCACTCTGTGCAAGATTTCCCTGTGGGAAATTGGGAAAGGCCTATGGGTATAGTAGTCAGCCTGGTGCCATCAAATTCTGGCTGAACAGCCCAGGGAGAGACCAGGAGGCAAGCTGGATTTGGAGGGACAAGCAGGCAGTGGGGATGGCAGGGCCTTGGGTACAAGTGCTTGTAGCAGTTTCCACCCATCTGCTCACAGATGCAGAGCTTGTGCTTCCCACCATCCGAAGTGCTGTGGAGAAGCAGTTGAACCTGATTGCCCAAGGCAAGGCTGACTACCGCCAGGTCCTAGGCCACACCTTGGATGTCTTCAAGAGGAAGTTCCACTACTTTGTTGACTCCATCGCTGGTAAGCTCCACCTTTTCCCTTCCCCCGCCACCAAAGGATACCCACCATCACCACTACCAATCAGGGCTGGCAGTACTAAGGGCACCCATATGAGGCCCATTACCAGATCTGAACTCCAGGCCTCTGCAGGCTAAGGAAATGATGCCTCCTCACTGGTTATTATTGAGATTAAATAGCAGATGGATTAACAACACACACATTGCCAGGAACACACAGACCTGACAAATGGGGCTACTGCTCTGCCATTCCATCACCAACAGTAGAAACCCCACCACCTGCAAGGATGTGTTCACACTAAGGACATCAACCATGTGTGGTAACCCCCACTCCAGCCCACCCATTTACACCAAGCCACATACTGGAGGGTAGGCTGCCAGAGACTAGAAAGGATGTGACTCTGTCCTATACTATGCTTGCTTTCAGGTATGGATGAGTTGATGGAGGTGTCTTTTTCACCCCTGGCAGCCACAGGCAAACCCCTCTCACGCTGTGGGAAGTGTCACCGGTTCATGAAGTATATCCAGGTAAGAAGGGTTGAAGGGCTGTAACTGCCCTTCCTGCCCATAGCACCCTTCTGCACTAATTCAGGCAAATCATGTCACTTCTTAGGCCTCTGCTTTATCATTAGTCATACAGAAATAATGTATTTTGCTTTGGGTTTCACACAGAATAATTGAAAGACCTAAGTCAGTACCAACAAATACCTCCAATGTCCCCCAGACCCCATAAACACATCAGCCATTAAGCCATGTGAACACACATTGTCCATTATTTCCTAACACATGTTTCTTGCTATCATGGGTGGGTATTAACCTACATGCCAGGACTTTTTTTTTTTTTTTTAGTTGTAGATGGACAATACCTTTATTTTTTTAAATTTATTTTTATATGGTGCTGAGAATCAAACCCAGTGCCTCATGCATGCTAGGCAAGCGCTCTTCCACTGAGCTACAACTGTAGCCCTATGCCAGGACTTTAGAACTACCTTCATTCATGTGTAGAATGTACTAAGGCTTATAGTTTTTGGTTGAAGGTCCTTGATGGCAATGTATTATATTCTATATTAACATGTTATGTATTCTATATTACATACTTGTTGTGTATTCTATATTTTGAGGGAAAGGAGGGCAGGCAGGAAAGTCAATGGCCCTGGAAGCCCTTGTATTCCCTCTTGGCATTGCTGTAGGCCAAGCCAAGCCGCTTGCACTGCTCCCACTGTGATGAGACCTACACCCTCCCTCAAAATGGCACCATCAAACTCTACAAGGAACTGCGGTGCCCACTGGATGACTTCGAGCTGGTTCTGTGGTCATCAGGTTCCCGGGGCAAGAGCTACCCACTATGTCCCTACTGTTACAACCACCCACCCTTCCGAGACATGAAGAAAGGTGAGTTAAGCACCCCAAGTCCTGGCTGCCCTTTGTCCCCACTGGGTAGCTATAGTCTCTTTTTAGCACCAGTCCCAGCCTCATCACACCAGGCTCCAAGGAGATCCCTCACCCCAGCCCTTCCCACACTGACTAGTGCTAAGATGGAAGATCTGAAGTATATCTGGGGCACTGCTCAGCCACCAGTCAGCCTATCTGCCACTCTGCCTGAGTGGGCAGGCTACTCCATGCTGCTGGGTCACTGGGGATCTGGGCAAGGGGTGAGCTATGATTCCTCCTGGGCTGGGGGAATGAGAATCTGCAGCATGTGGAGGCCACTCAGCAAGCAGTACCCACTGCTATACTCTGTTCTCATATACTTGTTACTAGAAAAAGGAGAGCATGTATCCAGGCAGGGTAGAGAGAACTGAGCCAAGAGTCAGAGGGGACCCAGAAACCATCACACTCACCCATGCTGTGTTCTTTACATCCTGCACAGCCTCTCAGGTGTCACCATCCCCTACTATAGACTAGGAACCAGTGGGAGTGAGACATCTACCCATGTTAACCTGGGGATCTGGAAGGAGCCCTCACAGACTCATCCAGATTCATCCCCACCTGCATCCAGACTGCTAGAGTAATGAGGCCCCATCTTAGCCCTCCGGCTGTCCAAAAGACAGTCCTATGTGGCCCAGTGATACAAGGACCACATGGAGTTGCCAGTGATGAGCTGTGAAAGCAAAGAGAAGGTTAGGGATGGATTTGGCTAGGATCTGCCAAAAAGACACTAGGCTGGAGGGCCTTCAAGATTGAGGAGTTTTTAAATAAGCAGAAAACAGGGAGTGATGGCAGCTGGGAAAATTCAGGAATCCAGGATCTATAAAAGCAAGATTGTCCCCATGAGCAAGATCAAAAGGAGCACTTTGTGCCAGGACAAGGGGTCCAGGAATTTGAGACACTGAGAGCAGGCCCAGGGGGCTGTAGGGATAGGTGAGCATAGCAAAGGTGCATCACAAGTTTCCCCTCTACCCACAGGCATGGGCTGCAATGAGTGCACACACCCCACCTGCCAGCACTCACTGAGCATGCTGGGCATCGGCCAGTGTGTAGAGTGTGAGAGTGGGGTCCTGGTGCTGGACCCCACCTCAGGCCCTAAGTGGAAAGTGGCCTGCAACAAGTGCAACGTGGTAGCTCACTGCTTTGAGAACGCCCACCGTGTTCGAGTGTCTGCCGACACCTGCAATACCTGCGAGGCTGCCCTGCTCGACGTGGACTTCAACAAAGCCAAGTCCCCACTCCCAGGAGATGAGACACAGCACATAGGCTGTGTCTTCTGCGACCCCATATTCCAGGAGCTGGTGGAGCTGAAGCATGCAGCCTCTTGCCACCCCATGCACCGTGGTGGGCCTGGGAGGAGGCAGGGCCGAGGGCGGGGCCGGGGCCGGCGACCCCCAGGGAAGCCCAATCCCAAGCGGCCAAAGGACAAGATGTCAGCCCTGGCTGCCTACTTTGTATGACATCCCTGTCCTCCCTTACCCAGACTCCAGTCACTGAAACCATTAAAATGCATTTTGCCTTCTCCAGAGCAAGAGGCCTGGAGCCTTTTGCTGTTGCAGCGACATCAGAGGATTACTGTGCCCTAGGAACCAGTGGGGCTTCCTTCCTCCTCCCACACCTACCTCTTCCTCCTATGTATGCCAAAGTGTTCCCCACTTTGCCCCCACCCTGGCTGTGCCTCCAAGACCGGAGCTGCAGAGAATAGACCCAGTCGGAATTCACACCCCATCTCAGTACATGTATAATAATGCTAGCTATGTGCACAAGCAGGAGATAGCCTGATGCCATGAAGAAGATGGGGATCAACAACCCATCAGTCCTGCAGGTGTCCTAGGCAAAAGGCTTAATGGAGCAGTCAGGCCTGATAGACATCCTCTCTGGGCCTGGCTCACAAATCCCCTTGGCCTTGGCTCCAGCCCCCACACACTTGTATGCTTGTGACTCCCAAGTTCAGCACGTTTTTTGTGTGACTCCACCAGCTTCTTGGGGCCTGTTCTGATTCCTGTTCATTCTGATAATGAGCCTTTGTTGTCTCAGAAGCAACTGGGCACTCCATTGAAACTAATTGCATACCAGGCTTAAAAAATACCCTGTAAGTCAGTACCTCGTGGCAGACAGGTGTGGGCTTCAGGCCAGACAGCTCTCTTGACTGGCTCCTTCCTGTGCTCTCCTGTCCAGCCACAAGGAGGGGCTCCTATATTAGTTTTGTTGTGTGGGGAAACCTTCCACCCTCTTGATTATGCCTCACCATGTAGTAGCAAAAACTTAGCCCAAATGGCTTTCCAGACTAATCTGGAATATTTGTTCAAGGGACAGGCCAGAAATGCTTCCCATGTGAACCACCGTCCTCTGTAGTAGATTCATAGTCATACTAGAATAGATAAGACTGAAAAAACTCTTTAAGAACCCATAGTTCAACCAGGCACAGGTGGCACATGCCTGTAACCCAGCTACTCAGGAGGTTGAGACAGGATGATCACTAGTTTCAGGTCTGCTTCCACAATCTAATTAGAACCTATCTCAAAATTCAAAAGAGGTGGGGGTACTAGAGATATACCTTGTGGTAGCATGCCCCTGGGTTCAATCCCCTGTACTAAAAGAAAAAAAAAAAAAATCCATAGTTCGCTCAACAGTCCACATAGTCACAACCCCTACTGGGACACCTCCACCCCAGGCCCCAATGAGCCAACATTTTGGTTCCCTGGAAGACAGTTTGAGAAAACACTTGAAAAGATGAAAGAAAATATGCAATGAGAGGGAGAGGTGTCACTTTGGGAAGGCTGCCCCATAGGGCAGCTCCCTGGGAAGCTGTGCAGCAATGGTGGGGATAATGCATCTACATTCAAAGCCTCTGCTTTTGTCCCCATCCACTGTAGTCAGATTCCAGAGCCCTGAAAAGGCCACATCTCTTGGTGGGCAGGGTCCCTGACTTGCAGTTTTGATTGCGTTTCCACCTACATGTCCCTGTCACATAATCCAGGGCCTTTTCTCTATAGGAGAGCAACCTAGGACCCTTCCAGGGAGACCCCTCCAGGAGCTCTGTCTAGGATTAGCTTGGACTTTGAGAGGGAACTGTTCTGTAGTCCTTAAACCCAAACCTCCCTTGCCATCCTTACCACAGTTGTGCAACTAACATTTCAGTCACAAACAGGGCTGATGAAGTGTCTATTTTTTTTTTATCTCTGAAATTGTCCCTGTGCATGAATCTCCATCAAGGGGATCTCTTGGCTTTTGAAGCTGGATTCTGCATTCCTGGTTCCTTCACCTTATACAGTGACATCCAACCCTACTATCACTGCAAACCTGGCCTCTAGGAACAATGGACACAAGGAAGGAATGAGGCCTGTTTAAGGTCAGAACTGTCTTCTAAGTAGCCCTGTTCTGTGAGACCACCACAGAAGTCAGTAGCTGCAGGGCAGCCTTTCTGAAAGAGGCAGGATCTTGCAGACCAGGCTTCTCTGTCTTTGTACCTGGCTTACAATGGCTGGGCCTGGTTGTCCAGCTGATTTGTCTTGTCAAAGACTATTGCCCTTTGTAGACCCCATCTTTGTCCCCTTGAGATCACGGTTCACATTGGCACTAAGTGCCCTATGCATGTGTGTTTCATTGAGTGTGTAGCATCCTTCCAAGGCTATGGGGCAGAAGACACCACTGACCTGCAACTAAAAAGCCTCTCTTGTTTCATTCCCCATGAAGAAACCAGCAGCTAAGGGAGATCCAAAGGCCCCCTTTCAAAGGCAGCACCACCCGGGCACAGGTTGGCACACACCTGTAATGCCAGCAGCTCAGGAGGCTGAGACAGTAGGATCATGAGCTCAAAGCCAGCCTCAGCAATGGTGAGGCACTAAGCAATGGTGAGACCCTGTCTCTAAATAAAATACAAAATAGGGGTGGGGGATGTGACTCAGTGGTCGAGTGCCTCTGAGTTCAATTCCTGGTACCAAAAAAAAAGCACCAGGTGAGCATCCCATTGCAAAGAGCCTGCAAAGTCAGAAATGAGGACTCTCCTGAGGTTATGTGTATCATCCATAATTTGAAAGTCTACAAGTGACCTAATCCTGTCTCATTAAAATGAGTCTTGCCTTATGTGTGGTGTGAAGAGATGAAGGAAGGTACTTGTGGATGGCTGAAGTCCTCATGTGGCAGGAGCAAAGTATTCAGAGCAGGCATTCAACACAGGGGAAACTTGGAAACAAGGAAAGAGTTCAGGCAGAAGTGGGAGGAAGACCCAGGGCTCAGCATTCCAGGAGCCCCTATCTAACCCACCTAGCCAGGGGCATAGCCTTGCTGAAAAAGCAGAAAATTATGACCTTGGTATCCAGTTGGGGTGGGTGATATTGAGAGATTCCTTTCACAAGGGTGAAAGCCAAGAGCCAGAAGCTGAGGCGTGATGGAATGCAGACAGTGAGGCGTTGACAGAAGCCACAGGGCACAAGTAATCTCACAAGCATGTTCCTGGCCTAGAGCCCAATGGAGCAAGTTTCTGAGGTGTAGCTTTGCCATCCTCTCTTATCTGCCAACCTCAAGTGGAATCAGTGCCTAAGAGGCCAATACGGCACCCACTAAGGAAGCCTGCAGGTATATCAGCTTTCACAGGCACCACACTTTACAGTGTGGGAAGGCCTGTCTCACACACTGCCTTGCCTGAGATTTTCAAACTTCACACTACAGCTATTCTGACATCGGTAATTTGGGCATAATGATCAATACTGGCCCAGGGTCTCAGAACAACCCTAAGACAATAGGTTGGTTGCTGTTGTCCCCACTTTTATGGTAAGGAAACGGGATCAGGTGAGCTAAGAAATATGCCTGAAGTCACAGGTTAAAAGAGGTAGCTCAGGCCAAGCGCAGTGGTGCATACCTGTAATCCCAGCATCTCATGAGGCTGAAGCAGGAAGGATCACAAGTTCAAGCCAACTGGGCACTGAGCAAGGACTTGTACCAAAATTTAAAATTTTTTTAAAGGAGTTGGGATGGGCTTAGTCATAAAGCACCCCTGGATTCTGTCCCCAGTACTGAAATGAAATAGGGAAATTATCCTGAATTATCTGGATGGGCACAATGTTATCACAAGGGTCTTTAGAAGTAGCAGAGGAAATCATCAGAGAGATGGCAGCAAGATAAGGGCTTGAGTGGCCCTTACTAGCTTTGAAGATGGGGGAAAGGACCCCAAGCCAAGGAATGTGGGTAGTCTAAAAGCTAGAAAAGGCAATGGAAGTGACTCTCCCTAGAGCCCCCAGAAAGGAACATACACTGTTAACACCTGCTCTCAGCTCATTTGAGACCATGGGGACTTCTGACTGCCAGAACTGTAAGATAATAAATCTGTGCTGTTTTAAGCCTTTTGTTTTGTGGAAACTAACATGGCCTCTAAAAGTACAGTGGCTCCCAGGCATTGTGCTCCTGCCTCTCATGGTTGGGTCAGTCCTGGGCAGTCTGGGTTTGCATCCCTGCTCTGCCACATACCACTAATTGATCATATAAATGTATTAACTTCTGGACACTAAAAAGTAAGGATTACTTTCCCGTGTCGTCCACACAAGGCTAGAAAAGTGTTGCAACTCCGCTGTGAGTGACGCGCAGGTGCTCGCCTAGGGTGAAAAAGCCGCAGTCACTGGGCGCAATACCGCCAGGGGGCGGCAGAGGCCTGACCCCGCCCGCCCATAGGCCCGATTGCGCCTGCGCGGAGCCGGAGGCGGCCCGGGACGGGAAGTGGGCGGGGCCGGCCCAAAGCAGCTCGCGGGACGCTGGGCCCTGGGCGCCGATCCGCGGGATGGCAGGTGAGGCTGGCGGGGACCTGAGGGTGAGAAAGCCCAAGGGTGCGATTTTGGGCCCGACAGAGCTGGAATGAGGGTCAGGTGGGCGCCCAAGGTGCACAAGGGTGAATTGGGGCTGAGGAATATGAGGGGAGGATACAGGGTCTGGGAAGACAAGGAGGCCAAGATGAGGATCGAATGGAGGGACCCAAGAGGTATATAGGAGTCAAATGGGATACAGAGTAAAGGGAGAAGCTGGGGACCTGAAGAACCCGAGGCGAGGAATCAGGGGGCTGGGGAGCCAAAGGCTTGGAACTGGGGGCCCTTTGGGCCGGCGGAGGTGTGGCCAAGTCAAGGGCCAGGTGAGGATCCAGGGCTGTGAGGCAGAATGAGGTGCAAAAAGAAGGCACGCCCCCATTTTTAAGGATCCAGCCCTTCCCCCAGCCCATCCCACCCACCAAAAACATGAAGGCCAGGCCCACTGCCCTGCCCCTACCCCACCAGCTCAGACACCTTCGTTGGACCACATTTCTGCCTGAAGGCCCCTACCTCCGGCTCCCCAAGTGTATTTAAGGTGAGTGTTTCAGTTGATGTATTGCTTGGGCTGCAGCCGCTCTAACCTGATTGTGTAAGATACAACTTCAGGCATGGAGGCTTTGAGCTCCACCGCTGCAGCTTGATGATCTCAGGCAAGCCCCTTAACCTCTCTATGCAATAGAGAGAAATGGCACCTGACTGTAGGGATTTTTGCACAGGATCTAATACATAATGAGGCCCAGTGGATGAGAATGGACTCCACCAAAGCCTTTTGCCCTACAGTCCTCTGAGTGAGATAGACAGTTAGATAGATAGGTAGATAGGTAGATATATATATGGTGTGTGTGTCCCCTCATGGCATTCCCTGAGGCAAGTTCTGTGGGCTAAGCTGTGCTCCCACTATGGGGAATAAAATGTGAGGCTGTCTGACCCTCAGGCCATCTTTAGCTCATATCTGGCTTTTATGTCCATATCCATCCTATTATCAAATTTTACTCTTTTCCTCTTGTAACTCATTGAGGTGGAAATGGCAAAGTCACCAGGCATGAGAAGGCCCAAATTGAGTCCTGCATTGCAACTTCCCACCTGTGTGACCTTAGATGGGTGCTTACTCTCCGAGAGCCTATTTTGTTGTATGCAGCATGACCTGACAGTGTGTACTTGCCAGCATAGTTATAAGAGGGTAAACAAAATGAGTCCCACTTTATTTTTTTTTTAATATTTTATTTATTTATTTTTAAGTTTTCGGTGGACACAACATCTTTGTTTGTATGTGGTGCTGAGGAGGATCGAACCTGGGCCGCACGCATGCCAGGCGAGCGCGCTACCGCTTGAGCCACATCCCCAGCCCCCACTTTAAATACTACTTTGAAAGCTCCACACAGGTTCATTTGTAGAATTCCTTTGTGATATAACCCGATACCAACCCTGTCTTTAAGACTTGTCTGCTGCCCACTGTGCTGGGAGTATTTTAGTTTCCTCTTTAAAGGTACCAGGCCTAAGGCTGCATGCATATCTCAGGCCAGGATGGCTGTTCACTCTTCTCTCTACCATCACATCACCTGCTGAGCAGAAAGGACCAGGGTGGGCTCCCTGACCATAGGGAGTTTATCTATCAAGAAAGTCAAGTTTAAAAGAAAAGTGATGGTTGCACAATAGCATGAATGTGCTTAATGCCACAAAAGTGTAATCAAAAATGGTTAAAATAGGAACTAGGAGTGTAGCTCAGCAGGAGAGCTGTACTTAAGCCCTGGATTCAATCCCCAGCACCAAAAAAAAAAAAAAAAAAAGTTATAATGATAAATGATAAATTTTACATTATGTTTATTTTATCATAATAAAATATATATGTAGGAAAAGATGTGGAAGGATTTACGTCAAACTATTCTCAGTGGTTATTTATGAATAAAGAAATAAGATTCTTCATTGTCAGAGAATAATACTAACAACACTGTCATAACAATAGTGGTGCAATTTCCTTTTCTAAGTGTCACTATTTTTTCCCTTACCTAGGTTCAGAAATTAAGCAAGACTCAACAAGTACTTTGTCTGTACCACCTAGAAAAAAAATGCATTTGTACAAATATACATTAGTTGAGCCTATGAGTCAAAACTGGCAAGAGAAAAACTTCAAATTTAAAATAAAAAAATACTTTTTATAAGTCAGAGCCATGGAAGACAACATGCTAGACCCCTGGGTGGGGAAGATGTCAGCAGAGCTTTGTAAAGTCAGAGAGATCTTGGCAGAGTGGGGGCAAACCAACACAAAGAGCAAAGAGACTGTTATTGATTTAGGGCAAGGAGGTAGGGGGCTACCTTAGGGATGTAGACACGGAAATGAAAGGAGGAGCCACAGAGAACTTAATTCCAGAGTTGGTGACCAATGAGGAGTGCACCAGGATCAGGAAGGAGTCAGAACAATTTCCTAGCATTTTAATCACAGTGACTGGGGACCAGGTTACCCAGCATGAATCTCAACCAGAGAGTTTGGGCACGTCACAGACCTTTTTGCCCACACCTGTAAAGTAGAGATAATCACAGCAAGGTTGTTAGGAGTGTATAAGGGATAACACAACACTCAGAGACACAGTGCCCCAGAGTGCTGGTGGATGTCAGTTGGGAACACCCTTCAGGCTCATCAGTGTGGCTGCCACCTGATGAGAAATGCAGAAGATTCTGATCTGGAGCCAGAGAGTTATGTCTGGCCAGACTGATTGAGGCAGATGGCACTGGGGGGGTGGGGGTTGGGAGCTCAGTGTCCCTCTCATGCCCACCAAAGGCCCTTGGTGACTTGCACAGACTCTTAACATATCCCTCTCACTGTGAGCCCTTTATTATTTGCCATTTGTGAATTGTGAGGATACCAGTGAAGTCAGGACAATCACACTCGGCCCCAAATCTCTTGGGCCTATCCCCAGTCCCACCTTCTCCCCACACTCTGTTATCCTGCTGCTGCCTGCCAGCTGGCCACCACCCTTCTCCTGAGACTGTCTCCTCCAGTGATCCTGAAGGAGCTCGGAGCCCTGGCACTGTCTCCTGCCTGTCTGGTGACTTTCAGGGCTGCCCCTAGTTCCCCTTTGAGTTAACAATTTCTCCCTCCCATCACTGTCTGTGCCTTCTATCTAGGTTGTGGGCTTCGAGGGCAGGGATATATTTATTGCACCTAACCATATGGCATCCATCAGATTTGAGATTTATTGGGAAAAGGAAGGACAAGGAAGGAAATTTCTTCTTGTCCTTTATTCCAGCTGGGCCCAGGGAAGGCAAACTGTGGCCTGGTTGTTATCCTTACCTCCAAAATCCAACAATACAGAAACAAATCTGGGTGGTCCCAGCAAGCAGGATGACTTTGGGCACTCTGTCTTTCTAGCAAAAGTAGATCATTAGTGCGGGGCCTGAGAGTAAGCCAGCCCATCCTGTGCACATACTGGCAGAGCTTTATACATGAGCATCATCTTGTCACACTCCGCTGTCCCCTTCCCCAAGCCCCACTCAGCATGCATGGTTGTTGAGGTTCATGCTAGGCCCTGTGCTCAGGACAGTGGGCACATGGGCACAAAGAGCAGGCAGGTGGCCAGGCATATGATGAACTTGGTGGAGTTGGAATCTGTAGTGCTGCAGTGCAGAGAGGAGGGGGCCTGGAGGCTAGAAAGGCACCTGCATTCCAGAATGTCTGGCAGACATCATCTGCATATGAGGTGGAACGTGGAGGGGTCTTGAATTCTGTTCTTGTCCACAGGATTTTTCCATCTGGGGCCTCCTGAATTTATGGGGTATGATCATGCTGTCTTTTCATTTTGATGCTAATCATAAATTTACATAAGCACATTTAACTTAGCTGGAGATTTCAGGGCCCCTAGATCACTAAGCATTTCAAGGGAGCCAGGCCTATAACAACACTGGCAGTTGCTTGGGGCAGCTCTGCATTATGCACATTCTCTCCCAGGAGGCCAGAGCAATTCACAGGCAGAGGAGGGGGACTTGGCCTCTTCTGCTCAAGGATGCTAAGCTTGCTGGGAAATTCCTATCATCTTGTCTTCTGGGCTTTCCTGCAGCTCCACTGAACCCAGCTGGCAGACCCCCATGGACCCTCTTAATTCCACCCTCTTCTTCACCCCTACCAGAGCTCCCAGCCTGCACTCAGTTCTCCATTTCACAAAACCTTACCTTTGTGGTTAGAATGAAAATGTCCTATTCCCATCCTGATTTTTCTTTCTTTGCTTTACATTCTTTTTCTTTTTACCTGCTTGCCTTTTGTAACCTGGACTACATTTTATTGGGAGTAACTGTGAAGATTGACAGTGAATTTAAGTCTATCCTCATAACCTTCAATAAGTACCCCTATTTCTGCATTCTTTCTATATATTCAAAACAAATTAACTTTCAATTCCTATCTCTAAAAGAAGCGAGAAGATTTATGGGGGTTTTGTTTTGTTGTGGTAGTGGGTATTTGGTTTTTGTTTGTTTGGGGGTTTATTTTATTTTTTTTCTGGTTGTGTTTTTTGTTTGTTTTCTGCAGTACTGCAGTGAAGCCAGAGCCTCAAGCATGATGGGTAAACACTGTACTACTGAGCTACATCCCCAGCCTGTTTTGTTTTTTAAAAGCAGTCTCTCACTAAGTTGCATAGGGTATCTTCCAACTAGCAATCCTCCTACCTCAGCCTCCCTATTACATATGTGTACCACTGCCTGGCTTGGTTTTATGTTATTTTAATTTACCTCGATTCACCCTTTTTCTTTTTTTTTTAATTATTTTTTAACATTTATTTTTTAGTTGTAGGTAGACACATAGACACAATACCCCCATTTTATTTCCATGTGGTACTGAGGATCAAACCTAGTGCCTCACACATGCTAGGCAAGTGCTCTACAACTAAGCCACAACCCCAGCCCCTCACTTCATCCTTTGCATCCCAGATCCTGAATTGATCAGATATTTAACCTGGTTTTAGGGCCCTCACCCACAATCCACCCATATTTTTGTGTGCCTCTCCTAGCTAGGGATTCGGAGGCCTGAGCCTATTAGATATCATTGAATAGATTTAATCACCTCCCAAAGTACCCTCATCTGTCCTGAGTTATTAACCCTCTGCTTCTCTCTTGCCCATACCTTGGACAAGCCCAGTAGCCTCTGAAGAGCAGCTCCTTCCTGCTCCTACCATGGTCCATTTCCCAAATAGCACTGGACTGACTTATCCTACTTGTTGGCTCTTCCCTTCCCCAGTTCATCTCTGTAGCCCTAGCAGTTCACCACTTCAAGCACATGGACCTGATGATATCACTTTCCTTACCTCAGATCCCTCCAGCTGCTGGGGTCCCAGGATCAGGTTAACCCCATTTACCTGCCTAGATAGCCTAAGCTTGGCATCCCTCTTTTGCCTACTCTGGCCATTGCTAGGCACACTCTGCTGGGAACATGCCTTCTTTCTCTGTCACTTCTTCAAGGTGTCCATACAGCATCAGCTGGCATCATCTCCTGAGTCCCCTTCTCTGGGCACCCATGTGTCCCCACCCACATCAGAATGCCAGTTGGGTTTGTTTGCTCCACTTGTGTTTCTGAACTGTGAGGCACAGGGCTTGATGAAATCCCTGCCACACATTGGTCACAAGTAGAGGAGACACAGCAGGACACTTGCACTCTGCATTGTAAGGCACCTGTTGTCCTGTAATTTTGCTGACTCTGACATCTCTCCCCAGAGTGAAGACTGACTGGAGACCATCTCACTCCACACCTAGCTCTAAGCACCTACCCGGGATGCTCTGGGCATGGCCTCTGGAGCCCCACAGAACAACAGCCAGATGGCCTGTGGTGCAGAGATCCTGGGCTTCCTGGACGCACTCCTCCAAGATTTCCCAGCCCCACTGAGCCCAGAGAGCCCTTTGCCATGGAAGGCCCCAGGGACAACACTCAGCCAGGAGGAGGTGGAGGCCGAGCTGGCTGAGCTGGCCATGGGCTTCCTGGGCAGCAGGTAGGCCTATGTGACCTCAGGAGACTGGTCAGGACAAGGAAGAGGGGCACAGCATGTCTGCTATATGCTGACCTTAACCCTACCTAAACCCTATGACAGCAGTGCAGGGTTTTCCCGCCTTATCCACAGGGGATACATTCCAAGACCCTCAGTAAATGCCTGAAACCACAGATAATACTGAATTCTATGATTTAATGCTGTCTTCTTTTAACTAAGCACTTATCACATACTGTGACTATAACTTACAATTTGAGATGCAACAACAAAACTAGCATAAATTTCTTTTTCCTCTTTCACAGTTCCATAGATAGAAGATTCTTTTATATATATATATATATATATATATATATATATATATATATATATATATATATATATATATACACACACACACACACATACACACACATATATATTTTAGCGATCTCAGCAGGTGATTTTTTTTTTCTTTTAAGTTAGGAACTTCTACCTTTTCACATATGGCACTTTATGGATTATCTTTGGTGTTTTAAAATTGCCAGCATCACTACTCTTTGCTTTGGGGCTATTGTTAAGTAAAATAAGGATTATTTGAACAATTGCACTGCAATACCAAGAAAGTCGATCTCATAACCAATATAGCCACCAAGTGACTAGCAGGTAGTGGGTACACTGAAAAAAAGGGATAATTTGCATTCCAGGGAGCAACAGAGCAGGATGGGAAGATTTCATCATGCTACTCAAAGTAGTACATAGTTTGAAAGTTATGAGTTCATTTATTTCTGCAATTTTTTATTTAATATTTTCAGACCTTTGCTTCCTTGCTACACATTCATCCCTGCCCACCTATGATAGCCTGTTTGCTAGGATTCCAGCACAGTAGATGACATGCTTACCCTGTGCAGTATGGTAGTGGGTGTTGCTGAGCATATGTACACCAGGGCCACACCTACCCTGCAAATCCACAGCCCCATAGCTTAGGAGGCAATTCTTCATGACCATGTTCCACAAGGAGTGAAGCATGTGCAGTCTGTTGTTGGCTGGTTTGGGGGAAGTATTTTAGAGACAGGTGGCATAAAGTGAATGAGCCCCCAGGGGTGGAGCTGAATGTAGGAGGTGAGGGAAGGGCCCCTAAGTTCTGCCTCCTCAAGAGGAGAGGTAGGAGCACAACAGCAGCACTCGGGAGCAGGGAAGTAGAGAGAGTTCTGAGGGACAACAGCCACTGGGCCTTCTATGGAGATAACAAGGAAACTTTGCTTTCTTGGGAGGCTCAGGGATGGCAGGGAGGAAGCCAGCCCAGGGGGATTGAATTCAGCATGGTGCCTGCTGCCACATGGCCTGAGCTGGTGATAAGGTAGGACCCCGGGGCTCACAGGGTCTTCAAGCTGGGGCACAGGTGCAGGAGAGGGCCAAACCACAGCAGCAGGGCCTAGAAGGGACTCTGGTGTGAGCCTATGATTCCCAAGTGAGAGTTAATAGAGTACAGAGGAGGGACTAGTGGAGCAGGGGGAATCTAGATAGAGGGGACTGGTTTTGCTTACCACAGTGAGGTGGACAGTGGCAGCAAGCGGCCTGGCCAGGGAATGGCTGAGTTGGGGTGCAGAATCTTGGGTCAGAGGGTTTCAGATATGAGGAGAAAGGATCAGGACTTGTTTGAGGTGGATGTTAATGGCTAGTGATGGGGTAAGGAACCAAAGGCCCCTCAGGTCTGGTGGCACACAGTTCCCTGGGGGCCTCTTAGAAACCACCCCCCCAACCATATATTCACCTTAATATACCTTAAAGCATATCATAAAATGTAGTATTGTAAAATCATATATTTTCCAACCACCTTCATGAGTTTAAGTTATTCTTTGTTCTTCTCTAGTATTTTCTCATATACAGACATGAATGTTCTTAGGTGTAGTCATTACACACAAACATGCTTACATATGGTTACTCATACCTCATAGACCTCCTTTGTGCTCTGTTTCCCATCTCCACAGCCAAAGTTTAGTCCCTTGGGCATGAAGGGCTTCCAATATATTAGTCAACAGACTGTTTTTCAGATTGTAAATGACATCCTTTCTGAGACCATCCAGAAGTCAGATCCCTGAGCACTTGGGTGTGCTAATTTTATGTCCTGTCTTCCCTTATTAGTAGCAATTTCATTGTCACATATTTGGGGCCCCAAGCAATACATACCTTATACTTTAGTTATTTAGAAACACATCTCTACTGCTGGACTGGAAACTACTTGTAACCACCCAAAGTGGTGGGACTAGGGTTTCTTGGTATCTGGGTCCATTCTCTGAAGCATCTTCCAACCTAGATTAGGAATCCCACCCCGCAGGGACCAGAATTAGGGTTGACTTTCATGTTGTAACAGACTCAGGACTGAGGGCCTCCAGGGCATATGGGTGGGACCGTTGGATGAGGTGGGAGGGGTGTCCGGGAAGGGGATGCTGGTGGCCAGTGGCCAGGCATTGTCTGGGTCCCCATAGCCGGAAGCTGCCTTCCTGCCCCCAGCAGCGACAGCAATGGGCAGGCAGGAAGCTGAAGCATGACCTCACCAGGACCAAGGAGAACCCGCGCCCTCCTGCCTGCCTTGAAAAGGGAAAATCCAGAAGTTGGCAGGAAATCCCCAAATGGTGGAGGAATTCATTTCTCTATCTTAACTGGTTTGTTTGTTTGTTTTCCTTGTCTTTTTTTTAAAAAAAACATGTTAGGGATCAAAACCAGGCTTCATACATGCTAGGCAAGTGCTCTATCACTGAACTATCCCCCTAACCAAGCTGAATGTTTATCAAAGGTAGTTCCAGAGGCTTTGCCCTGATTCATGCTCTCATTTTTTTTTTCTTAAATCAAGAATTCATCCCACTAGATTACAGAGACCAGCAGTAAATGCACCCAGCCCCCACAGGATGTGATCAGTCAGGGTATTAGAAGGTCCTTGTTCTCTGGCTAAAGCTGGAGTGGCAGCCAGGCACGGTAGTGTGTGTCTGTAATCCCAGCTACTTTGGAGATAAATAATTGCAAGCTTGAGGCTAGCCTCAGCTACTTAAAAATTTAAAAATTTCTAAAAGGCTGAGAAAGTAGTTCAATGGAAGAGTGCCCCTGAATTTACTCCCTAGTACCACTAAAAAATAAAATTAAAAGAGCTAAATATGTAACCCAGTGGTAAAGCACTTGCCTAGCATGTCTAAGGCCCTGGGTTCATTCCCTGGTTAACCCCCACTCCCACCAAATAAAAGGAAAGAGAGCTGGAGTGTTAGCCCAGCAAGCAATCACCCACTGTCCCAGTCATGCCCCCCCAGGAGGAGTGACTTCTGCCTAGAAAGCCAGGGCTTCAATAGACATGGAGTTTGAACAGGGTCCCCAAGATGCAGAGCCCACATAGAGAAGTGTGGCAGGTATGGAAAGGTGCACTAATGCAGAATTTCAGGCTGTCTTCCCCACTGCCCTCTTCCTTGACCATAGCTGGCTTCAGTCTCCCTCCCCAAAACTCCTCCCTTGGTTTGCCATTCGTCCCCCTTATGTACTGCCTCCTATTAAAGCCCCTGGCTTGAGGTTGACATTTCCTCCCCTCCACTTGCCTTCATCCTGCCGTGACTTCCCTTTCCATCCCACCTACACCTACTTGACTCCGGCTCTGTTCTGTGACCTTCAAAGCAGTCAACCCAAGACTTGCTTCTCAGAATTATTCCTCCATGGTCCCAGGAGGAGACACCTCTGTGATCATCCCCATTTGTCTGTGTCCTACCCCATCCGTCCAGGGACCCTGTGAGCTATGCATAGCCACTGCTTCCACCAGACTCATCTTTCAAATGCAGCACCCAGGTCCCACACTCCCTCAATCAGCTTCCTGAGCTGCTTGGTAAAAAAAAAGCACCACAGAATGCAGCCTAAACAATGGAGATTTATTGTCTTAACAATTCTGGAGGCTAGGAGTCTGAGATGAAGGTAACAGCAGGGCTGGTTCCTTCTGGTAATTTGTGAAGAATCCCTAGAATTCCTTAACTTATAGTTTTATTATCCATATCTCTGGTTCATGTTCACACAGCTTTATTCATGTGTGCATATCTATGCCCAAAGTTTCTCTTTTTTATAGACATCAACTATATTGAAGTAAGAGCCCCTTCTAATCCTATATGACCTCATGTTAACTAATTCCATTTGCAAATAAGGTCCTATTTTCAAATAAAGTCCCATTCTGAGTTACTGGGGGTTAGGATTTCAACAAATGAATGGAGAAGGGGACCAAATTCAACTCATAACATGCCCTAACCCCTGGTGTCCTCAGCTGGTTTCGGTTACTCCCTCTCCCCTCCTGTGGTATGTAGACCAGGAGCCATCATCTGCTCGAATGTCAGGAAGTTTTCCCCACCATCAAGGCCACACATCTCAGCGACACCTTTTCCTCACCAGCCTCAGCACTGCATTCGGTTCACACAGGTTCCAGTAGATGATCTGCTTGTTGTGTGAACATCCCTTCCCAACTCCCCAAGGACACAGGTCCCTATGCTTATTGTGACCCCACAGCAGGGTGCAAACTGTCATCTCTACCTCTGGAAGCTCTGGGTTGGGGAATGCAAGTTCATGGGCTTCTGTTGGTGAGCTGCCCTAGCTTTACCTTTTATTTCTTGTCCCAAGGAATGCTCCACCATCACTTGCTGCAGCTCTGACCCATGAGGCAATTTCCCATCTGCTAAAGACAGACCTTTCCGAATTTAAGAAAGTGCCCAGCCAGGAGGAAGAAGATGAGGAGGAGGAAGAAGAGAAGGTTCCGATGACCTGTGAGTTCTCTTTCCTCTCAGGTGACCCCAGAGCTGCTTAGCAGGTGACAGAATTTAGGTTGATATTGTGAGAAACATATTGATCAGAGCTGCAAAAGAGTTGGCACTGGGTCACTCATCCATGATAAGGTGGCAGGATCCAGGTGCAGACAAAATGTAACACTGCAGCACAAACCCAGCAAGGGGAGTATGGCCATCAGGGTCCTGCTCAAAGTCAGCCAAGACAAAGTATTCAGTGGACACCAGGCCCCCTTCTGTGTCCCATCTCCCTTAAGTTTCAGGAAAGCCCTTGGAAATAAATGATGCTTGTCACATTTTACACTTGAGAAATTCAAAGTGCCAAAGTCAGGTGGCCAACTTCAAATGCATTTGTCCCTCCCTCTCTCAGCAACATGAAGTCAGGGTCAGCAGGGTGTTGCATGAGCAAACCAAGCAACATTGCTCTGTTGGAGGCATCATGGTCCAGATGGTAGCAAGGCGGAGCATGGGCCCCTTGCCTCAAGATGGAAATACCTTTTCCTGCCTGTCCCTGAGCTTTCTGAGGAGGTGGTGATGGAGGCTTCTCTATCAGCCTGCCCTTAAGACAGCCATCAGTGGATCCAGGCTACAGACAGCATGGTACAGCCAGAGGAATCCAGAAATTGGGACTTTTGAGAGCCGTTTGATAAATAATCTACTAAAAATAGAGAGCTCTTATTCTGACTTTCTTCTTCCTAGTAATTACTTTTTATTGTATTTCATCAGTGTTGGTTCATGTTGGACCAGAGAAGTAGAGAGAGGAAGGATGGCAGGCTGCTGGGGAGGTGCCACCTGGGGCCTCTGTGGTCCATTTACGAGGTAGAATTTCCTCTCTGTACAGGCAATGGAAAGCAGATTTTCCCTTCCTTTGCCATTTCCTTTCTGTGTTATTTTAAACTCAACATTAGTGCGTACATGGTAGGAAAAGGAAGGAACAATGTGGAGGGAAAGAGAAAAAAAAATACATGAAGTCTCTAGCATCAGTGATTGCCAGGCTATTTCTCTCCTCCTCTTTCTAGTCCTCTTTTCCTTGGCTCTTTGCCCACCTTCCATCAGAGCACAGAGCACAGCCTTGTGTTCCTGCCTGGGAGACAGCTGTCCTCAGTGACAGGCAGCCATTGTTCTCTGCAAAGCCAGCAGGCTTCCTGCTGGTAGCAGCTGCCACTGCACAGCTCCACAGAGGGAGCACCCCCACCCCCCACCCCCTGCTGGTTTCTCTGCCCTTTCAGGCAGAATACAGTGTCACCTGCTGGTGGCTAGGAGAACTGCTATAGCTAGCAAGGCGGAGCCTTATACCTGGCATCTGGAAATGAGGGACCCTAACCAGAAGGAAATAGCAACCTGCCTCTGCCTTCCCTGTCTGTCCCAGAGCAACTTCATGGGGCCTGGGCTAGAGGCTTTTATCACTCATGGCAGCAGAACATCAAAAAGTCTGTCATCTCTCAGCCATTCTTGCAAAATTACATCAGGGCAGGCATTGTGAGAATCACCACTGAAGGGCAAAGATGTGACTAAAGCAACCAACTCTCCCCAGTGATTGTTCTTAAAACAAAACTGGAGCAATTTCTGAAGGCACTCACCCTTGACCAGAGGAGTAGGCCAAGGCATCAGGAGCCTGCAGGCTGGGCATCACTGTTGTGGCTTTTTGCCCTCTTCTGTTAGTGCCTTTTTCTTGAGCAAGATTCAAACAACACATGTGGGTGGAAATAGCTGCATTATGCCTAATGCAAGAAAGAAACAGGCAGCTTAGGCCTGGGTTCCTCCTGTGTGCTTTAGGCCTGATGAGCGCCAGCAGTTTCCAAGAGTGAGAAGGAACCTGTAGCAGTTTAAGTGGTTTTCTGACTACAATCTTCTACAGAGGAGAAAGAGGAAGGAAGGCAAGGGAGGTGGCACCATGAGGACTGGCTGAAGGAGGAAGTCTCCCTTGGTCAGCAGGAGAGCTGCTAGGCCAAATGCACTTAGAGCTACTGTCCTTATAGGCCTTCCCATGATGGTTCTCTGGCTCATGACCCTCAACCTGGCCCTGCTAGTCCCACAGTTCTTGTCAAATGTTTGATTGGAATTCTGTCCTGGGTGTGGTGGTAGCAGCCCACTAGAGCCCACTACACATATACACATCCCTGCCTTGTTATATGATTCCCCTCAAACTTATCCTTCTGTGGCTCTCTGTGCTTGCAGGTCTGCCAGCTCATGGTTCCTTCTCTGGCTGGGAGAGTTTTGTTTTGTTTTTGTTTTTGTTTCTTCCCCAATTCCTCAAGTCGTTTGAGTGTGGCCTGTTTTCAGTTACTTGACCTTGAACTCTCCTCTTAGGTAACCAGCTCTGACTCATCTTTATTTACCATATTCACCTGGACTGGCAGGAGTCCTAGGAGGGGTTTGTACACTAAAACTGAAGTGAGTCCCTGAAGGCATTGACCCCAAAGTCTCCTTTGGACCTGGGCCTTATTGATCTTTTCTTTAGAAGCTAGACTTAAGTATGTTTTTTTTTCCTTTTTTCCTTTTAAAATGAGTATTATAAGTTGTATTATTTATTGCTACTTAATAGATTACCCCCAAATTTAGTGGCTCAAAACAACAGGTACTTATCTTCCCATAGTTTCCATGGGCCTGGAATTTGGGAGAAGCTTAGGAAGGTGATTTTGCCCAGGTTCTCATGAGGTTGTGGTCATACAGTGCCACTGCACAGGGGAATCCACTTCCAAAACGATTCAGTCACAGAGAAGAAAACATGCATGCAAGCTGGAAGCCATAGTACCTCTTAGAAACCACACATGATCTCTTCCATATTAATCCATTTATCAGAAACAAATCACCAACTTCAAAGAGTTGATGAATGTATTTTAAAGTCATCACATGAAGCAAACACTTTAACAGAAAATTGAGAAAATATTAAAACAAGTGTAAAATAAGGAGGGGAAAAAAATCACCCATAGAACCTGCCCCAGTAGGCACCTACTCTGTGACATCTTGGTTGTGTGCCATTTCCGCCCTTTTTTTCTGGGTCCAGGTGTTTTTTCATGTATTCATGATTAAATGATACAAATTGTGATTTTTAAGAATCTACACAATGGGATCATACAATGTATAGCTTTGGGGGATTGGCTTATTTCACTGGAGATCAACCCAGATTGTTCCATATGTTGGTAGTTCATTCTGATATATTGGTAGTTCTTTTACTGAGTAGTATCCCAAGGTATGGATGAACCACAGTTTGCTTAACCATTTACATGTTTTTTGGTTTGGGTTTTTTATTTTGGTTTTTTGGGGTTTTGGTTTGGTTTTGGTACTGGGTAGGATATTAAACCAAGGGTTGCCTAACCACTAAGACATATCCCCAGCCTTTTATTTTTTATTTTGAGACAGAGTCTTGCTAAGTTGCTAAGGGCCTCATTAGTTGCTAAGGCCAGGCTCAAACTTGCAATCCTCCTGCCTCAGCCTCCCAAGTCACTGGGATTACAGGCTTGTGCCACCACACTCAGCAACATTTACATGTTGAACAACTAGGCTAATTCCAGATTTGGGCTATTATAATTAAAGTCACTGTGAACATTTGTGTATAAGTTTTTGTGTGAACAATCTTTATTTTTCTGGAGTAAGTGCTCAGGAATACAATTGCTGGGTCATATGATAGTATATGCTTTAGTCATGAAAATCATTTTTAATAAATAGCAACTTAATTCTTCATCAAAAGAATAAGCCAATGCCTGGTTGTGGTGGAATGTGCCTGTAATCCCAGCTATTCAGGAGGGTAAAGCAGAAGGATTATGAGTTCAGAACCAGCTTGAGCAACTTAATGAGATCCTGTCTCAAAAACAAAACAAAAAGAGAAAATAGACCAGAATTTACTTGATCATTCATCTGTCAGTAGATATATATTGTTTCTAATTAATGGACAATTATAAAATGATTTTGTACTTTGTCCTTAAATTATTTTTGCATGTCCCATATTTACTTATGGCAGGTTCCAATGAGTGGAGTTACCCCATCATGGGATCAGAGACTTTTTGTTACTTATTGGACATTTCTGATTGCTGACAACACACTGTCATGCATAGGTTATTAGATTGGTGTTCTCAGCATGTCCTGGTAGGTGATTGGCTTGTGGGGTCCATGAAGACTAGTGGTGGGTACTATCTGGAATACCAAGGGAAATGACAAGAAAGGGGAATAGAGAGCCAGTAAAGCCTCAGTAGGCATGGTTTGGCTTCCCTAACAATTCCTTCATCGTGCCCATCAGTGCTAGATGCCAAAGGCCTGGCACGGAGTTTCTTTAACCAGCTCTGGGAAGTATGTGGCCAGTGGCAGAAGCAAGTGCCGTTGACTGCCTGGACCCCACAGCGGCAGTGGCTGGTCTCCATCCATGCCATCCGGAACACTCGCCGCAAGATGGAGGACCGGCATGTGTTCCTTCCCACATTCAACCAGCTCTTCGGTTTCTCTGTAAGTGTTCCACCTGCAGGGTCCAGGGGCAGGTGGTCCTACACCAGCATAGAAAAACTAGAGCAGAGGTGGGGACCTTGGGTACTAAGAAGAGATGCCAGTTAAGCCAGGAAGAACATCTCTTGGCTGTAATCTCAAGACTGAAGTGCTGGGCAGCTCTAAAGGCACTTCCTAGGGAGAATCTAGAAGCCCTAATTAATAGTTCCAGCAACTTTGGGCCAAGTTGCCAGGTACCCTGCTTTCCCAGGGAAGAACCAAAAAAGGCAACAGTTGGCCTATATCTATTGTAAGAGTAGGCCCCGGTGCCACATTTACCCCAGCACTAAGAACACCCTGGTACATCTTAGCAGCCCAGTACAGATGGTGAAACTAAGGCTTCAAAGGCTTCCCTCTTCCAAATCTCCCAATTCATAAGTGCATGAGACAGGTTTATCCTTCTGATGGTAAAGATCATGTTGATTCTTCCAGATACTGCCTGTCTCAGTCTGTTCTATTTCAACAATACAATACTCAAGACTGGGTAATTTATAAATAAAGGAAATTTATTTCTTATAGTTCTGCAGACTGGGAGGTACAAGGTCAAGGGCTGCATTTGATGAAGGCCTTCTGCAGAGTCCTGGGGCAGCACAGGGAAACACATGGTGAGATAGAACAAGTTTGCCAAAAAGGACTTGCTTTATAACAAAGCCACTCCCTTGAAAACCATTTATCCATTAATCCCTGAATGGATTAATTCCAATTACCTACCAAAGGTCCTATCTCCAAATACCATAAGACTTTGGGAGTGGGGATGTAGCTCAATGGTAGAGTGCTTAACATGTGCAAGGCCCTGAGTTCAATCCCTAGTACCATAAAATAAACAAGATTTGGGGGATTATATTTCCAACACATGAATTCTGGGGGTGGGGGGAGTAGCAAACATTGAAACCTTAGCGCTACTAGTCACTGCCTGGGCTGCATTCTCCCCAGATGAGAGCAGCTGGCCAGGGGCCCCAGCCAGGCGCAAAGCCAGCAAGTCTGTGACTCCTACTGCATTCACCACCAGGACCCCGTAGACCGCGCCTACTTCGCTGTGTTTGATGGTCATGGAGGTGTGGATGCCGCAAGGTATGCTGCTGTTCATGTGCATGCTAATGCTGCCCACCAGCCAGAGCTGCCCACAGACCCTGCAGGAGCCCTCAAAGAAGCTTTCCGGCGCACAGATGAAATGTTTCTCTGGAAAGCCAAGCGAGAGGTAGGAACCAGCAACTGGATCTCAATTGTGGTTTGGGGGATAGTAACATCAAAGAGTCCTGCCTCTTCAGAGGGAAAGAAACCAAAGTGATTGATGGTGCAGGAAGATCCTCACTGAATGCTGCTGGCAGTCATGTCATTTCATTCTTATAGGACAGGGCATCATTGCTCATTTGAGTGGAAGCAGCACAAAGCTTGCCCCTTGTATTAGGCTATTTTTCATTATTCTAACAAAATAACCTGGGGCTATATAACTTTATGAAGATAAGAGATATATTTTGACTTATGATTCTGGAAGTACAAGGTCAAGAAGCTTCATTTGTTAATAGTCTTGCTGGCAAATTCCCTCAGAGCATCAGATGTCAAGAGACAGGATGTCAAGGCTGTATCTTCCAGCCTTCCTCCCTTTCCTTGTCACCAGGATTCAACCATTGTGACCCCACCACCGATGACCTTATCTAATCCATTGCCTCCCAAAGGCCCCACCTATAAACACTATAGTTAAGTTTCTGCCCCCTTAATACCTGAGAAGGGAATTAAATTTTGAACACCTGAAGCTTTGGGAAACACTAGAGCAATCTCCAAGCCATACTACCCCTGACTCAGCTTGCTCAGCCCTCAACAATGTAAGCCTGCAGTGGTCTATAGACCATGGGAGGAAAGGCAGACTATTTTCAAATGTACTCAGGGTTTTGTTTTAATCAAACATGGTAAGGCAACAAGTGACTTGGCAGAAGAGTTTATTACTTCCAGCTTCCAAAAGGAGGAGGCATACCATGTCATAAGGACCACCCAGGGAAGCACCAGGGTGGGTCAGGAAGCATAGGGAGTGAGGCCAATGTGGCCTCCAAGGAAGACACCAATGAGGCCAGGCAGGCAAGTTCCAGCAAGCTCAGAATTGGATGGTTTGAATAACCTCAGTCAGTTTTATACATAGGTTGGCCCCCAGCCTTCCAGTATCAGGCTTTGAAGCCATCCAGGGCAGGGTGAACTTTGCTTGGTAGGTAAGGAAGGAGGTTTAGGGGAACATGAACTCAATATCAGCTGGCTTAGCCATGAAAGGTGCACTTACAGGCCAGGTGTATGCTGTCTCTAGGAGTTAGCTAGCTGTGAGGACAGTCTCTCTAGGATCAAAAAGGCTCTAAGATATCAGCCCATCATAAAATACAGAAAATGTAAAACAATAAACATCCCACCTCCCCTTGCTCTTCTGGGCAAGGTCTCAATAGGCTGCTGATGTCTACCTAGAGCACACTTTGCTCTCAAGAGTTTTATCCATGTGTGTGAATGAGGCCGTTGGTTCTGAAAGAAGAAACAGTGCAGTATCCCCACTGGCCCTAACTTCACTGTGCTCTCCCAACCCTGTGAGGGCCATTCTACTATTGGGCCTATTTTAGACAATGGGAAACTAAGATTCAGATTGCTTAAAAGTCCTGCCTCAGTGAGGAGCCACCCTGTCATCACACTCTGACCACATACCTTAGTGGAATTCAGTGGAGCTGAGCTGGATTTTGCATCTTAACAAATAACTGTAGAGCACCTAAAATCATAAGGGGGAGCCTAATGGGAAACTGATAAGTCTTTTCTCCTGGCCACTCTACCTTCAGTAGGTAAAACAGGCCTCTGAGCTTAGTACTGTTTCTCAGCGTACAGAACAGAGTCTCTGAAACAGGTGTTTATTTTATTTTTCTTTTTTGCTTTTTGGCAGTGCTCAGAGGGAACCCAGGGCCTCACACGTACTATACCTCCAGCCTCCATTATTTTCTTTAAACGGCTTTATTGAAATATAACTGACAATAATAAATCACATATATTTAAAATATGCAATTGGATAAACTTTGGCATATATGTATACCCATAAAATCCCCACCTCAGTAATGGACATATTCATCACATCCCAAAATTTTTCTTGCCCTATGTCATCCCTGTCCTCTTTCTGCCCTCTGTGCCCACTCATCAGACTTGCTCTTCTGTATCCTGCCGCTACAGACAAGCTTGGTGTTCCAGAGTTTGTTATCAGTGGGGTTCCATAAGGTGTGTTCTCCTTCCATGTGGTGTAATCATTACACAATTCAATTCATCTTTGCTACTGTGGGTTCTGTAGTCCTCTTTTTCACCGGGTGCTGTTCCAGCAGCGGTTCTGTCTCATTCAGCATGTGCTTGCCATGCAGGCTCCAGGTCATACCTCACCCAATTGGGTCCCCTCTCTTGCAGCGGCTACAGAGTGGCACCACAGGCGTGTGTGCACTTATCACAGGAACGACTTTGCACGTCGCATGGCTCGGGGACTCCCAGGTCATCCTGGTGCAACAGGGACAAGTAGTGAAGCTGATGGAACCACACAAACCTGAGCGACAGGTAAAGGGTTCCCTCTGTCTAAGCCCAGGACATTTCCAAACACCCATCATGCTTGTGTCTGTGTAGGGGACTCAAGTTCCCTGTGTAGGGAACCTCAAAGGGAAACAGAATTCCAGAAGAACAGCAAGGTATTGTTGGGGCAGATAATAAAGTATAAAGGGCCCTAGAAACTACTGGTTCTCCTGCAGAGGGAGGACTCTCCTGCCTCACTTGAGTGGCCAGGAAGCCCCAAGTTCTGTAGGTCACAGTGACATGGAGCCCAGAGGTCCTGGCAAGAGCTGGGCCCTCTCCCTCAACAACAAGTGGGATCAACTTATCCTATTATAGAGTCCTATAAAGCACATGAACAAGGAATGGATGACCATGGGCTAGGGGCAAAGAGGTGACACTGTACTGGGACTGGGAGGAACAGGCATAGGACTGTATTAGTTACAGGCTACACTGGGATCCTGGGATTCTGAGATCACTCACCTATTTGAACCTCAAGGTCATTACCTGGACATTAGGATCATGCTCCTGCTCAGACCATATTTTTTTTTAAATATATTTTTTTAGTTTGTCAGTGGACTTTCATTTTATTTATTTATATGTGGTGGTGAGAATCGAACTCAGTGCCTCACACATATGAGGCCAGCACTCTACCACTGAGCCACCACCCCGGCCCCAGACCATATTTCACAAATGTCTGTCTGTTCCCAAAAGTCAAAGTGGAAATGTTGGATATCAAGGAATGCCTGTATGTCCCACTCCAAACCCTGTTTTTTCCACACACTGCTCTGCACTGGCTTTTTTCACTTAGCATATACTTGGTGAGCCATCTTACATCAGCATGTAAAGCACTCCGTCCTTTCATAGAGACCTATGGCATTTCATTCATCATTTAGTCCCTTTAGGATAGGTATTAAGATCTTGAATCTTCCAGTGCTAAAAACATTGCAGCAATGAGTAGCTTTGTACTTCATATTGTTGAGTGTGTATATAGTTTTTTTAATATGTTTTTAATTGTTGATGAATCTTTATTTTATTTCTTTATATGTGGTGCTGAGAATCGAACCCAGTGCCTCACGCATGCTAGGCAAGTGCTCTACCACTGAGCCACAACCCCAGCCCCTGTAAATTTTTAAAACAGATTTCTTCAAGTAGAATTGCTCTGTCAGAATAGAAGAATCTACAGTCTTAATAGATTTTGCCCAACTGCCCTCCTTGGGCTAAGCCAGCGGGTGGGTGCTTAAGCAAATCATTTGAGAAGCTCCATTACCCACTAGTCCCTCCAACCTGTGGGATTCCACCCATCTGAGAGGTCAGAAAGATATCTAAGGGCAGTTGTTTAGTTTGCTTTTTCATCTTACAGAGCAAGTTTAAACTTTTTTCAAAAGTTCAAGGTCATTTTCATTGCCTTTCCTTTGTGTGCTCTGTTCCCGTCCTTTGCCTATTTGTTACAGTTTGTAGGCACCTTAGACATGTTGCAGAGTTTGGCTCTTGACTGGTGATTTGCAAAGTTTTCCTGCATTTGTCGTTTCTCCCTTGTCTCTGTTTACAGGCTTTTTCCATGTAAGAGTTTTGGGTTTCCTGCAGTGGGATTGAACAGTCTTTTCTTTTTATGGCTTCTAGATTAGGAAAATAGGAAAGACTATCAGGTATTGATAACCACCAAGGCTCTGACATGGGCCACACATGTACTCTCCCCATTGTACAGAGAGAACTGAGGCTTAGATAGGCTTAGTCATTTTTCTAGAGCGTATAGCCAAAGTGGTAGATAATCTCTGCCACTCTGCTGCCACCACAACCATGGGAGTTGTTACCTGCTCCCTGATGGGCCCTTCTCCCCGATGGGCCCTTCTCCCCAAGACAGGTGAAATGTAACCAGGTTTGGATTAGGTGCAAACCTCTGCTTAGAGCACTTGGGCACATCTCTGCAGGCCCAATGTCCAGCACTTCCTCTGAAGCCCAGTGGGGACCTTTTCCAAATAGTGCCCTACTCCCATTCCTCTCTACCATGCACCTGGTGAGCCATCTTACATCAGCATGTGAAGCATCATTTAGTCCCTACATTGTGGTGCCATGACAGAGCACAGAAAGATGTCCTTGCTTGGTCCTGAGGATTGCGTGGGGACCCATTTTGCTGCCTTAACCGTAACTGTCTAAACAGAGCCTCTTCTGCCACTGGAGTCAGTTCATGCCAGCAGACATTTGTCACCTACTCTGTTCAAGGTACCTTGCTGAGGCGGCAAGATGAAAACACAGAACCCATGACCTGTCTCCCAGTAACTCCCTGTCTAATGAAAAATCAAGGAATTACTGGTGAGGGTACAGGACATGGACAGAGTGCTGGAGAAGACAAGGCAGAGAGGAACGGGAGTGGACCGTGGGGCCACATCTTGAAGGCAGGCCACCTCAGCAGGCCAATGACAATGTCCAGGAAATGAGAGAGAAATTAAGCAAGAACCAGGCTCAAAGAACACTGACCTGGAGGGCTGCCCTGGGCCAAGAAGAATTCTGTAATAAATCACTAGAAGCTTCTAAAATGTTCAGACCACCAAAGGGCTAGGTCATAAAAAACTAAAGCCAGGAGAGTTATAAGAATCATCTGCAGTCACAGGTCATGGCAGACAAGCTGCAGCAAGGATCTACTTTAGGAGAGACAGAAGGAAAAGCTCAGGTTTAAGGATGGAGACATGAGAGGGCATAAGCATCCAAGAAAATAATGATGCTGTGGGCAGCTATCACTAGGGCCTTGTAAACCCTGGAGAACATGGCTATTAATGGAACTGCTGGGCCAACAGCATGGGGTTTGAGCTGGGAGATCAGAAAGATGAGGAAGATGAGGCAGAAGGAACAAAGGAGAGCTGAGAGGGTAGGTATCCAAGGAGATAGGAGACACTGTGGTCCTGGACCAAGCCAAGCTGGTCCAGCCTGTGGCTGTGGTGAGGCTGCTGTGGCTAGTACAAATGGAAGTGGAAGACATGGAAGGGGAAGGGGATCTGGACACAAGACCAGGGTTACAGGACCAAGTGGGATGAGGCAGGTCTGCTTCAGTTACAGTGCTCTAGGTCCCAAAGCCTAGGAAGCCTGCATGGACAGAGTGTGTCTGTTGGCCCAGGGAACCCTGTTAGTTTCCAAACTGCATGGCTGTCAGGATGGGGAGTCACAGGCCCAGAAGAGCAGCATGGCCCAAGGGCCCTCCCAGACTCCAACTCAGCCCTGTCCCCACAGCCACCTCAGGGGTCTGAGGCTTCAGGAAGGAGGGTCCTACTATTTGGAAGGCCTAGGCTCCCTGCTTTTCAGACTCCTTGGGAAAATCCTGCTCCCAAGAGGGACTATAGTAGGTAAGCCCAGGTCCTTTGGCACCACCCAACCCAAGGTTGAAGGTGGATGAATGTGGGCTGTGTACCTCCACATATGGGGAACCCCTGGGAGAATCTCATAGTTCTCCTTTGGTAACCCCCACTTACTGTCCCCACCTCCTGGCATTAAGGATTTGGGGAGAGCTGAACCATGTAGGAGCTAAAAGCAGAGAAAGGCTAACAATTCTCAACATATCTTCCCATGGGCATAGGCTAAGGGTGGGCTCACCACCCCTGTTAGGGGAAAGCCTGAGGGGATAAGAGGTCTGCTCCCATCTGCAGCTCCTAGCTGGTCTTCAGGTTCCTTGTGGGTGCATGTGTGAACATGTATGCGTGAACACCTGTGAATTTGCATGTATAGTATGTCTGTCCATATGCTTCTTTTACCCCTTCTCCCCAACCCTCAGCTCCATTCTTCTTTTCCTCCTTCTGGCCTTCATGACTTTCTCTGGCCCTGCTTAGACCCAAGGGCAACTTTGGGAGCCTTTGAGGTCCCTTAGTCCTGCCTCCTTCACAATTTTAAGAATTCCACGCTAGGCTGGACTAGGTGACTGCTTCTAGTGACCAAGAGTCTCAGCCCACCAGGCACCCATCCATTCACTGTACAAGGCCATAGCAGCTCACTCTGTTGGGTCAGAGTGCCTACAAAGTGAGTTCCTATCATTCCTACTGTGATATCCTTTATGGGGGAACTGTACACAAAAGCCCAGTCTTCAGTGCTCTCAACCACATGAAAGACACTGTCCTCCAGCCTCCTGTAATGTGTCTGCATCAGGACAGTGTCCCAGCCTGTCCAGCTAGTGCTGTGCCCCAGAGACTATGTGGGCATGTTGCAAAGTCGGGCAGCTTACCCAACAATTAAATTAGGGATAAAGGACATCCTCCCTCCTACAGTAGACATGTGAGATACCTTGCTCCCAGTAAGGCACATGGGATGCACTCAACTATTGTCACCAGCCTTCAGGCAACAGATCCACATCTGGAAAACCTCTCTTCTTTGGGGGAACTAATAGGACCAAAGAAAGTTTTTGAGAGACTTGTGGAAAGAAGTTGGACTGGAGCATCATGGTCCTCTGGTGAGCAGAGAGAGTACCTAGAAATGAGCTTAGGTGGAGGGAAAAGGACAAGAACAAAGCAGGCGCAGGACTGCCAGCCAGGGCCTGGCTTAGGTTTCATGGGCCCTCCCTGTGGCTGCACATATGTATCACATGCTTCATCTTGTCCCAGCAACTTTCAAAGTAAGGACAGTAGGCCTAAGTTGAAAGATCTATCATTTAAATCTGGGACTCGTGTCTTTCTGATGCTTTAAGCACTTCCCTGGTCCCAAAACACTGCTCAGGGACAGAGTAATGGCTTATTGGCCTCAGGTGATCCAGTTATGTTTACACCATTCCTTATACTTAGTCATTCCTGCAATTGAAGGACTTGCATGTTATTTATAGTTCTCACTTTTTAATGATGTCAAATTTGCATGCATATATGAACCTCCTGACTTGGTTTAAGTGATAGGTCTTTGAACACGTCTTAGAAACCAGCTCAGTCTCTCTGCTTAGGCATTGGCATTGGAGGGGCCCTGTCCCAAGGACTCACTGAGGCCTTGAAACTCTTGATTGTCTCCCTATAGGATGAGAAGGCACGCATTGAAGCACTGGGCGGCTTCGTGTCTTTCATGGACTGCTGGAGAGTCAATGGGACCCTGGCCGTCTCTAGAGCCATAGGTAAGGGTGATACAGAAGTGGGCACAGGCAGAGGGAGGTTGCTGGATGCCCAGACCTGAAACTATGGCCAAGGGCTTACCCAGTGGTTTAGGATAGAGTGGCATTAAGGATTTGGGGAGGGCTGAACCATGTAGGAGCTAAAAGCAGAGAAAGGCTAACAATTCTCAACTAATCTTTCCATGGGCATAAGCTAATGGTGGGCTGGCTCACCACCCCTCTTAGGGGAAAGCCTGAGGATGCCAAAAAGGGTTTGCAAGGATTCTCCTTGACTTATGGTAGAATTAACTGCCAATAAATCCCTAGTAAGTTGACAATATTTTAAGTCAAAAATGTGTTTAATGCAGCTAACTTAGCAAGCATCCTAGCTTAGCAATACAATCTACTGTTGGATTTCAGTTGTTTTCTGTCGATTATGGGGCTGACTGGAAGCTGCAGTTCTCTGCTGCCAGCAGTACCAAAAGAATCAGACTACAGATCACTAACCCACAAAAGGAGCAAAATTCAAACTGCGAGGGCTGGGGTTGTGATTCAGCGGTAGAGTGCTTGCTCATCTAGCATGTGCGAGGTGCTGGGTTCAATCCTCTGTACCACATAAAAATAAATAAATGAGATAAAGGTATTGTGTTCAACTACAACTAAAAAATATATATTTAAAAAATTCAAACTGCAGGGTTTTTTTAATTTGTTTTGCTTTCACATCATTATAAAGCTAAAAAAATCATAAGTTTAACCATCATACATCAGGGATCATCCATACTGTGTTTATGTTATCAGATTGTGACAGGTATAGGAAAGGTTTAAAAACTACAACTAAACACCTAAGAAATTTTCATCTCCCACCATAATTGCATTTTAAGTTATGCATTGTTAATTCTTTTATGTGTGTGTGTATATATATATAAATATTTATGTTTTAGCTATAGATGGATACAATACCTTTATTTTATTTATTTATTTTTATGTGGTGCTGAGGATCAAACCAAGTGCCTCACATGATCTAGGCAAGCACTCTACCACTGAGCCACAACCCCAGCCCTATATTGTTAAATCTTAATTAAAACAGGTCCCCCCAAAGTCTAGTAGGAAACCTTTAAATATTTCTTTTTTTTTTTTTTTTTGGAACTGGTGATTGAACTCAGGGGCACTCGACAACTGAGCCACATCCCTAGTCCTATTTTGTATTTTATTTAGAGACAGGGTCTCTAAATAATTCTTAAGTGAGGTTACACACACACATTCATGCTAATGATTCCTGTTTATCTTTTTGAAAAACACAGCAGTTTCTCATCCCATATTCTCAGTATCCCATCACTGCTAGGTCTCAGTCTAGAGACCACACCTGGCCCTTCCAGGTACTTAAAAATCATTCCCTTCCCAGCTTATTCCCTGGAATTTGCCACTGGCCCCTCTCACCCTCCTGAAATGTCCTGTCCTTGGCAGATGAGGTAATAGCCCATCTTCATACTGCTGACACCATTGTATCTCTGGACATACCAGGAGAGGGCCAGCAGGGGTAAAGGAAGCAACAAAAGCCCTATCTGAGTGGAAATTGGGAAGATTGGGCTAGGTCATGGTCAGGGGATTTCAAGGAGGGCTAAAAACATTGGGATAGTTTGCATGTGGGGGCTACAGATTTTGTGAGAGCAGGTGGGCTCTGTACTCTCAGGGCTTGGGGGCAGTAACCAATAATAAGGTTGGGGCCTAGGCAGAAGGAAAGAAGTAAGGTCCTCTGACAAAAAGCTCTTCCTCCCTTGCCCAGGAGATATCTTCCAGAAGCCCTATGTGTCTGGAGAGGCAGATGCAGCCTCCTGGGAGCTGACAGGCTCTGAGGACTACCTGCTGCTTGCCTGTGATGGCTTCTTTGATGTCGTCTCCCACCAGGAAGTCACCAGCCTTGTCCACAACCACCTGGTGAGGCAGCAGGGATGCGGGCTCCATGTCGCCGAGGATCTGGTGGCTGCAGCCCGGGAGCGAGGCTCCCATGACAACATCACAGTCATGGTGGTCTTCCTCAGGGACCCCCAAGAGCTGCTGAAGAGCAAGATCCAGGGTGCAGGGGACTCCGTGGCAGATGTGAGAAGCCAGAACTTGCTCTCTGGCTTCTCAGAGCCTGAGACCAACACTCCACAGAGAAGTTAGGTGGTCTAGGGCCCCCATCATCCCATCCTGACCCCTCCCCCTCCATCCTTGTGCTTCTCCCCCTTAGAGGCCTTAGGACCCAACAGGCGGTAGTGGGCAGAGGGTGCCCACCCATACAGCGCTTCCCCCAGTACCCCGAGCCGCTCATGGTGCGTGTTGCAGCCTGTCCTGGTGGCACCCATAGAACTGCATCAGGCAGCTGGTATGTCTCAGAAGGAAACATAGGGGAAAGACCTCACCAAAGAGAAGATGGCCCTGGAAGTGAGCCAGCTCTTTATCCCACCTCCCATCAGAGCAGGGGTAAGACCAGAGGCCATAAGCACCTGGTGGCAGCCCAATCAAAGACACAGGGTGTGTATGTGGAACAGCAGGCTGCACCTGTGCATGTGGGACCCTCAGACAGATCCAGGAGCCTCAGACATCTTCAAGCATCCTGGGTCAGGCCCAGTAGGCAGGGTGTCCAGCCCAGGTTTCTCATGGCTTCTCGCTATGGCTATGGCCTTGGCTGTGGCTGGGTATGACAGGCCCACAGGTCATGCCAGCTTCCAAAAGAAGAGAAAGTGGCCTTGCTGGAAAGAAAGGGGACACCAGGGCTCTGGTTCACAGCAGCCGTTAGGCAGCCTGTGATGTGCTAAGGCCTTCCAGGTCCTCTCTCTTCCCTTGAGCACCCTGAGGAGGTGGAGTTCAAAACCTTCGACATGACACACTTGTCTTTTGTGTAAGTTCAGATTTTATTCCAGGGAAAAGTCTGATCCAGAAGCAGTATTTCAGGTTTATCTTTGTTTTTTCAGTGCCAAGATGACCCACAGTGTCATATAATTTAAGCAGAGATTGGTGTTTATTTTACTTCTTAGAAAACTTAAGTATTTACTCTTTTTTTTTTAACCATTTTCTTGTGGAAACTTTTTTGTTGCAGTATTACTGAATTTTTTTCTAAATCAGGAGTGAAATAGAAACTTTTCCAGGTGGTGTTAATAAGCCATTCAAGTGCCTTAAACAGCTTTGGGGGTAGATGAGAACTGCTCATCCCGCCATGGATCTTGATAGGTGTTTTGAAGTTCTCACAAAAGCAGCATTTGTTTTGTTAGGGAGTCATGATTTTCAGCTAGACATCCTTCTGGAAGAGTTCTTTTGCCTCTTTGTAATGCCAAGCACCCTTAGGAGCCTCCCTGAGGTGACTGGCAGGAGCCACGGCTACTGTGGGACCACTCCCAGACCACAGGGCTCTGGGGATCCCGGGTGACATCTGTCTCTTACCCCCTGGCCCCAACCACAGGCAGAGGAACCTTACTGCTATTTGGAATGTTCCAGAATATCTTTGTGTATTTGTAATCACATAGGTTTCTTTGGTATAAACAATTAAGAGGGTCTAGCAAGCCTGGAGACAGCCCAGGGTCTCCAGCTTTGGCTGAAGGCAGTGGGAATGCTGCTGGCACTCTGACAGCACCAGCCACAGCTCCTCATCTGGCTTCTGTGACTGGTACCCTCCCCTGCTGGGCTCTGCCCTATAGCCTGAACAGCCATGAGAGATTCCCACATTCCTTAGAACATCTGGAAAGTGAGGCTCATAAGCGATGATTCTTAGGTGCCTAAAAGAGCTCACATAGTATGTGTAGGGGCAAAAGTGGCAGGACTGGTAAGGAAGCCAGGGTACAGGGACGCTAGGGGGACAGAGAGGGTTGAACAACTTAGGCCCTTCAGAAGTAGCCTCAGTGGGAAGGAATAAGTGATGAGCAGGGCTGCTCCAGCAGAGGCTAGCAGGTCCAAGGAGCAATGGATGGTTCAGCCAATGCTTATAGAAGTGGCAATAGGAGGTTTAGCTGTGAGGTCCCTTCAGTGATACTCAGTGTCCACCTGAAGACATCAGGGACCCAGAAATGTCTGCACAGCTGTGCTCAGATTGCCTTGGCCCTTCTCTCAGTTCACAGAATGGGTTCAAGAGTCACCCAACCCAAGACAGGTCTACTGTCCACAGGAAGGAAGAGAGCCAACCTTGGTAGAGCATGCGGCTGCAAGCTCAGTGTTCACCCCTAGTCCCAGAGCAGGGATAAAGGTCTTAAATCATGCGGTCAGTGCCTTGCTCAAGGTCCCCTGATAGAAAGCATCTTAAACATTGTTATTCAGAGAATGGTTGGTCACCAACAATGATCAGGTATTGCTTAACATGAAGGCCCTGTTGCCTTCTGAGGGCCAGAAACCAGAATCCCTTGTGCCCTCTCAGCTCAAGGCTGAACAAGATGCTGGGATGTAGCATCCCACATCCATGCTAGCATCCTGCCCTGGCAGTGACCTTGACAGAAAGAGGGAGCTATTGCTTCTGTTTTTCCCTATTCTTTTGATAATCTTATTCTGTTCATTTTGCCAAGAGTGGAGTTTCTCCCTTGAGGGGTTTAGACCACAACCATTTGGTGGTATGATTCATACTGTGGTCTGAGTCTCTACCAGATATCCTCTTAGCTCAACAGAGAGGAAACCCCTTCCCCAGGATTGTCTGAGCACCTCCCGCTACCCTGAGCCAGGCTGTCCTGCCATGGGAATGTCCAAGCCCCTACCTGGCAGAAGTCTGGAGTAAGCATTGAGAGCTGCTCCATCCTTACCTTGGGACCAAGGGAGGCTTTGTTCTCCTGTCAGGGACTGGCCTTACACCAACTCCTAGGCGATGGAAGACCCTTCCATCTTGACTGGGGCTGGACCAGGAGTCACCAGGTATCTTTAGCTTCCTAGATTCCTGGGCCACCTCCTTTTGGGCCTTAGTCCCAAGAGGGATGCTGGTCTGAAAAATCCAGATCCTTCTCAAGTTTCAGCTTTACCACCAGCTCACTCTATGAGCTGAACAAGTTGTTGCATCTCTCTGGGCCTCAGTTTCCCTTTTGTAAGATACAAGGGTTGCACAGTGTCTGGAATGACTCCAACCTTTTGGAATCCTGGAAGCTCAGGGGCTACTCAAGGTGAGCCTAGTTGGCCTGGGGAAGATGCACTGATACCAGTGCAGAGGACCCCTCCCCCACAGCCAGCAGGAACCAGTGATTAAGTATTATTAGTGTCTATTCTTAAAATTAAGTGGGTTGGAAAAGAATCAAGTTACAGATGCCAGCGCCTTATATGGAATACAAAAGCTGGAGAAACCAAACCCTGCTTTTACAGGTAAGGCTGACTCCCAGCTGAGGCCTGCAGGGGTTGTAGGTGTAGGAATGGCAGGAGGCCACAGCTACACTCTCAAGGGTGTTCTGGTCAAAATCCAAGATAGGAAGTGGGAATATTTTAGGGAGCATAGGGACACAGTGTGGGCAGGGCAGCCAATGGAGTCTCAGGCCCCCTGAGAGAGTAACAGGCTTCCTGAGATTTGAGGTCAGCCTTGGATGAGCCCCTGCCATTGACCATGGTCTGGCTCCTCCTGCCCTCCCTGGGGTCAGCATGCAGCCCCAGTCCTCACCCTCTCCCCTGCTGTGGCAAGTTTTGGCATCCCTGCTACCTCAGCAGTATTCCCAGGGCTGGAAGGACAGCTCTGGCCTTTCCTAGGCCTGGTCCTGACCCAAACTATATGGAAGCCAGGTAGGCCTGTGTAAAATAAGCTGTTTCTGATTTGATTCTGCCTCCGTAGTCCAAAGGGGGCAGCCCCTGGAGTCCTGTGCTTTTGCCGACTCCACAGCTTTGCCAAATGCGCCGAGCTTTGCCATTCACGTGCCATGTGGGCCTTGCCAAGGGTTTATCTGTGCACGCCTCAGGGGGCTTCCTGGGAGTTGTGTTCTTGTGTGACAGGGAGTCTTGTTCCAAGACATAATGACTGTTTCCCCTGGTCTTAGGGACAAGTCCCAAGGTGAAAAGGCCAGAAGGGTGGTCTCTTCCCAGGGACCCACCATGCTGAAGTGTCAATAAACTATGAATTCTGAGACTCTTTGTCTCCTGAGTTGTGCTTTCTTTTCTCATCTCTTAATACCATTAATAGTGGATATCCAGGGTATGTTTAAAAGCTCCTGAGGTGTTGGGGAATCATCTACAAATCTTGGGACGTATCCCTTTTAGCCAACCCAGCCTGCTTTTCATCCCCGAGACTTCAAGACCACTCCCACCAGCAGCAGAAGGGTTGTGGGAAAAGGTTGAGGCCCAGGACATTGGGGAGTCCCAGGAGCACCTGGTGACTCCAGGAACCTGAAGTGCCATAGGCACTTCACTACCAAGGATGAGACCATCCCAGCATGTCAGACTTGGACCCACAGGTGGCTATATGCCTTCATAATACCTCCTAAAATATTCAGGGGAAAAATCAAAGCACTAAGCATTTCTTCTGCCTCCATTACTGTTGCCTGCCTGCCACTCTACCCTTTGTATTGCAGGGCTGCCCTCGCCACTCCCACCAGGACTAGCTGCATGCCTGCAGCAGGACCTCCCACGCAGGGCAAGGACAGAAGCACAGTCAACAGACTTGGGTTACTTAGTAGGGAGCCAGGTTTGCAGCTGGGGCTAAAGAGGAAAAGCCCAGAAGGAAGTCCCATGAAGACTTCACTACTAATGGTTCCTGAGGGGCAAGATTCTCTCTCTCTCTCTCAATTCAGTGAATATACTTCAAGAATGTTTTTATAGCTGCGTGCAGTGGCACACACCTGTAATCCCAGTGTTTTTGGAGGCTGAGGCAGGAGGATCCAAGAGTTCAAAGCCAGCCTCAGTGAGACCCTGTCTCTAAATAAAATACAAAAAAGGGCTGGGTATGTGACTCAATAGTCAAGTGCCCTTGAGTTCAATCCCCCAAAAAAAAAAAATGCTTTTACGAAAAGATCCAGGAAGAACAACCAGCAGCAAAAAGGAGGGTGATGCTAAGACTCAGGGTTTTGGTAAGGAACTGGGAATGGCCAGGCAGCTCCAGTGCTTTGGGAGAGCTGGGCTGATCTGGAGATATAGCCTGGGCAGCCCCCTCCCTACAAGAGGCTTTAAGTGGTAGGCTGTTAGACTTTAAGGGAATCGCAGGGCCCACCAGCTCGCCACAGTTTGCTCCAGATATGTGGTCCCCAACCATCCAGCCCAGACTTCAATAACCTCCCTCACCTCCCAGTCAGCAAACAGCCAAATGCACCACAGCTAGATTTAGTACCCTAGACACCCTGAAGGGCTGACTCCCACAAAGGCCCCAGTGCAGTGCACATGTGCAGAGTCCAAGGCTGTGGCCCTCAGAGTGCATGAAACTGCTCTTTGAGACCAACTTCAGTTGCTTCTCAGTGCCTTCAGGGGATCAATACTGTCATTTCAAATCCAAATGACTCTGAGATGTAACCACTCATAGGACTTTGTCATCCAGCCCTTTGGCAGACTTCGGTCTGGTATCTGCTACACTGTTCCCAGCCTTGGAATGAGGAATGACAGGGCAGACCACTGAGTAGTCCACCAAGTAGTCCACCAAGTACTCCCCGGCTGCAGGGCCACTAATGGAATCTGAGCCTGGAGTCTTCAAAAGTTGAACTTTTCAGAGTCCCTGACTCTGTAGCTCCTGCCATTTAGTCTTTCTTTCCTTTCTCCAGCAAGAACCACAGAAAGCAGATGAGCAGTCAGCAAGGAGATCTCTTCCTGTGCTCCTGGCCAAGCTTGGCCCTCAAAAGGACACGGAAAACATCAAAAATGCCTCCATGGCATCACAGCCCCTAAATTGCTCTGAACTGCTCCCCAAAATGGAGCACGTGTGCCTTCCAGTTCATTGGAGAAAGCTCTCCTAGGCCGGCTGTGTTCCTTCCTCTCCTCAGCCCTGTCCTGGACTCTGTCTTTACCTATGGGCCTCCCAGCCTTGTCTGTTTGATTTCTCCTATCCCTTCCCAAATTACTCTGGAGTGTCCTCTTCTGCTCCAAGTAGCACCTTCTTCCCACAGCTGAGGCCTCTGATGCTTCAGACCACACTGCAAGGAAGGCAGTTTTACCTACCTCCATTGTGTCACAGAGAGGGATGGGGGCAATCCTTGGAAACGCGGGGAAACTAGCCCAGAAGGAATTCTGCCAGGATACAGGCCTGGGGTTTCCAACCAGGCTCTGCTCCCACCCAGCACCACCCACTCATCCATCTGTCCTCCCACTCCTCCACCCACTCAGCTCCTGCAAAGTCTCCTTCTTAAGTACATGCTGTCTTATTATTCCTTAATGAATTGTCTCATGTTTCTGAATCTCCAGATGGTGGCTCCATTCTCCTCCCACCCCTCACTTTCATGGAGCTTGAAGCCCTTTCTCAGGGCCACTGGGGTAAACGAAGCCTGAGGAACCACCAAGGGTACATTGAGCAGACAGGGCCTGAAGCTGCCTGGTAGCTGAATGTGATTCACCCATAAATCCAGGCCGTTGTGATGGCAGATGGGGTTGGGGAGGCATGAATTAGGTTTTCTATCAGGAGGGGGATAGCTAAGTCCACAGAGAGATTAAGCCACAGAGTCAGTTAGGGTGGTCAGGACTGGGATTCACATCCACCAAATTGGAGCTTCAGCCTGGGGAAAGGAACCTGAAATCCAAGTCCACAGGACTATGGCAAGGTTGGGGCAAAGCAAGGGAAAGAGGCAGGAATCCCTACTGGAAGGGCTGATGCCTAACCTGCCCCAGAGTTTCCCCAAGAGACCCAGCTGGCTTGCCTGGAGCAGAGCCCAGCTCTGAACCAATCAAAGACAGGTCAAAGAGAGATCCTCAACTAGAGCTCTCTGCACATGAAAACTTAGGTCTTTCTTCTAGAACTTCAATCATTGGAGTCCTAGATTTATGGATGGCTCCAGGGAAAGGACTAGGTACAGCCCCCTCGGAGCCAGTTCTGAGGATTTGCTCAACCCCAGTAGAGTATCCAGGACAGGTGCCAGGCCTAGAAGCATCACAGGGGGCACTGGTGGCCCTGATGCCCATCCAGGCAAGCCCCTGTTCAAACCACTGTCCTGGTTAGTCATTCCCACCACAGTGGAAGAGATCTACTCCTCACTCATCCTACAATCCCAGCAGGCTCAAAATGCCCACCTCAGGGCCCACTCCCTCCCCTTACCCAGATCTTATCTAGGTCACTTCTCATCCCAAGGATTTGATGATTTATGTCCACACCCTTATGAAAACCACATGCAGCTGTGTGGGCACAGTGGTGCACACCTGTAATCCCAGCTGCTCAGGAGGCTGAGGCAGGAGGATTGAGAGTTCAGAGCCAGCCTCACCAATGGCGAGGAGCTAAGCAACTCAGTGAGACCCTATCTCTAAATAAAATACAAAATAAGGTTAGGGATGTGGCTCAGTGGTCGAGTGCCCCTGATCAATGCCCAGTACCCGAAAAAAAAAAAGAAAACTACATGCACTCCAGCATCATGCAGTATTGCTTCAAAGCATTATCTAGACAGTTGCCATTACATGAATTTTTTTTTGTACCAGGGATTAAACCCTGGGGCACTTAACCACTGAGCCACATCTCCAGGTCCTTTTGTTTTTTGAGACAGGGACTCACTAAGTTGATGAGGCTAACTTTGAACTTTAGATCCTCCTGCCTCAGCCTCCTGAGTTACTGGAATTACAGGCGTGCACTGTCGTGCCTGGCAAGTATTTCAAATGATTAAAGTATGTTCTGCATTTCTTCTCAGCAATGCCAGAGATCGAAACCAGGGCCATATATGGAGTTGTATGTGTGTGTGTGTTATTTATTTTTTACTACAATTATTAGTACATATTAGTTATACAAAACTGTGTTTCATTGTGTCAGTTTCGTACGAGCACATGATGTACTTTGATCACATCCACCCACTCTATTTCACTTTCACTCTTTTCTTCTTCCCTAGTCCTGTTCCCCTTCCCTGATCATCCCCTTTCTGCTTTCATGTTGTCCTTTTTGTTTTTTTAGATTCCACTATATTTCTGCATTTATGAAATTATAAAAATAATATTACAAAAGGACAAACCTTGGAAAAGAGGAAAGACAAGATTTAGTTTTGAACATAGGACAAAATAATCGAGGTCAGGGCTGGGGGTGTAGCTCAGTGGTAGATGTATGGTAATACTGTGGTCAATCCCCAGCCTCAAAAACAAAACAAAAAAGGTCATGGTGTTTAAAAATGCAATTTAAAGCTGGATGCCATGGCACATGCCTATAATCCCAGCAACTCGAGAGGCTGAGGCAGAAGGATCACAAATTCAAGGCCAGCCTTAGCAACTTAGCAAGGCCCTAAGCAACTTAGCAAAACCCTGTCTCTAAATAAATAAAAAATAAAGTGTTGGGGATGGAACTCAGTGGTAAAGCACCCCTGGGTTCAATCTCCAATACCAGATAAAATAAAATGTACAATTTAGTGCTGAGTATGGTGGCACATGTTTATAACCCCAGCAGAAGGATCTCTTGAGCCCAGGAGTTCAAGGACAGCCTGGGCTATGGTAGTGAAACCCTATCTCATCAGAGGTGTTGGGGAGGGGAAGGGAGAACTGCTTTGGGTCTGGATGGTAGATGCTTGCATGAGGCCACAGATTCAGTCACCAGCCAAACACAAAAAAAAAAGAAAGAAAGAATCAATGTCCTATAAAATATAATAATGAAACAGATCCACCAGTCAACAACAAAACAATGTTACCAATAATATTGAAGTTTCTCAAGCGCTCACCCACTTGCTTGTCCATCCTCTTCACCCCAGTGACCAATATCCTAAATGTTTAGATTCATCTTTTTTAAAAAAAATCTTTATTTTCTTTATTTATTTGTATGTGGTGCTGAGGATCGAACCCAGGGCCTCTCACGTACTAGGCGAGTGCTCTACCGCTGAGCCACAACCCCAGCCCTAAATTCATTTAAGGAGGATTTCTTTATATATTTACCTTGTATGCATATATCCTTACATCCTGACATTTAGTTTTGCTTGTCTTTTAACTTTTTGAAAATTAGATATTATATATATTGTCCCCTTTCTGCTTTCATGT